CAGATTGCTTTACTCATACAGCGATAATAACTATAATCAGCGATGATATACTAATAATTGATAGTATCATGCGTTCATCTCTTCGTATTATGCCACAGTTAGCAGGAGTTCAATTGGTCGATCTTTAGCGGATTCTTCTACTTCTTATTTACTATTAATATAAACCTCGGATACACTGTATAAAGGTCGACTCTACAAGTATCTACCTGACAACATGCTGTATCAGCCATTATCTTCTATACACGTACGTATATATCAAAGATAGGCATAATCGCCCGATCACTGCATATGGCATTTAGCAGATTCTTATCTATCTTTAACCGTGGAATAAAGCTTTCACATCGTATTTGCAAAAGTATTGAGCTAAACCTATTAAAAATTTCGACTAAAATAGACTATAAGGCATTGATAGAAATTGGAAATGTTATTATGAAAGCGCTCTGTTTGACTGATTTTGAAATATGGCATCTTTCCATGTCATAGCTGCCATTGAATTAGAGTCAACAACTACATGCTGTGCGTTTGTATGATTGATTATATATACGAAAAAGGCAAATCAATCGGACAAATCTAATTGTAATGCACATGATATTATGGTAACTTACGTCATCAACAATTTTATCTTTAGCAATTGATATAACTACTGTAAGCATAATTTAATAACGAATAACGACTTACTGTATACTATTCAGTGTCTCGTAAGATATTATTTTACTCTAACGGCCATCGTGTAATATCAAATGACTTATCGTTGTGCTACATGACAATGCCGTTTATCACGTTGAATATAGCAAAACTCATCTACTCGTGCAAGATGAAGTTCAAGGAATTTCATCTTTAGCAATTGACCCTGTCGGCCATAGAGGTAATGAAAGTCTCGAATTGCAAACTCATCTACTCGTGCAAGATGAAGTTCAAGGAATTTCATCTTTAGCAAATGGCCCTGTCGGCCATAGAGGTAATGAAAGTTGCGAATTGCAAAACTCATCTACTCGTGTAAGGTGAAATTCAAGGGAATTTCATCTTTAGCAATTGGCCCTGTCGGCCATAGAGGTAATGAAAGTCGCGAATTGCAAACTCATCTACTCGTGTAAGGTGAAATTCAAGGGAATTTCATCTTTAGCAATTAGCCATGTCGGCCATAGAGGTAATGAAAGTCGCGAATTGCAAAACTCATCTACTCGTACAAGATGAAGTTCAAGGAATTTCATCTTTAGCAATTGGCCCTGTTGGCCATAGAGGTAATGAAAGTTGCGAATTGCAAAACTCATCTACTCGTGTAAGGTGAAATTCAAGGGAAATTCATCTTTAGCAATTGGCCCTGTCGGCCATAGAGGTAATGAAAGTCGCGAATTGCAAACTCATCTACTCGTGTAAGGTGAAATTCAAGGGAATTTCATCTTTAGCAATTAGCCATGTCGGCCATAGAGGTAATGAAAGTCGCGAATTGCAAACTCATCTACTCGTACAAGATGAAGTTCAAGGAAATTCATCTTTAGCAATTGGCCCTGTCGGCCATAGAGGTAATGAAAGTTGCGAATTGCAAAACTCATCTACTCGTGTAAGGTGAAATTCAAGGGAAATTCATCTTTAGCAATTGGCCCTGTCGGCCATAGAGGTAATGAAAGTCTCGAATTGCAAACTCATCTACTCGTGCAAGATGAAGTTCAAGGAATTTCATCTTTAGCAATTGACCCTGTCGGCCATAGAGGTAATGAAAGTCTCGAATTGCAAACTCATCTACTCGTACAAGATGAAGTTCAAGGAATTTCATCTTTAGCAATTGACCCTGTCGGCCATAGAGGTAATGAAAATCTCTATATCTTGGGCCATTGGAAATATCAGTCGACCTTTTTGTCATACGACTTACGTCTCTGATGACGTTGCACATCATATGTGTATACTGTACTTATACTGTCTCCAATTCAATGAATGGGGATCCTTTATGACTGACAATCATAGGCCATTGAAAGTATCAGATGACTTTTGGTTGAATGACTTGATGTCGCGTTACTGTCTGATGGTGACGTTGCACAGAGAAATAGCTGTTAAGGTGTCTTCAATGAATTTGATCGTTAGCAAGTGACCCTCACAGGTTATGGAGAATATTCAATGACTTTCATAATTGATGTCGCAAGACACAGCGCAACATTCTGTGCGAGGGCCATGTTGCAACAGAGGAACTATTCGTAGATGTATTAAAGCTATCTTCGACTCAATAAATTCAATCTTGAGCAAGTGACCATCACAGGCGATTGAGATTGAGAAAATCCGATGGCATTTATGCTGAATAAATTTGATTTTTAGCAAGTAATTCGTAAATTGGATAAATTCGATATATAGCAAGCAGTATTCATAGGCCACACACCGGACACTATAATTACGCCTATTATATTATAAACACATTTACAGAAGAAATCAACGAGGAAATTCATGAATATTTCTTTATTTTACAAACTGTTAGACTGTGAATTAATATTATATCGCTTTTTTTTATCATATGGCATGCGTTGCTACTGTATTGAGCTGCAATGATAGTGATGATGATGTTGCATAGAGCTATTGAAAATAAAATTAAAATTAATTAATTAATTAATTCATCAAAAAAATACTACTGTACTGTATTATGACGCTATTGGATGACTTTGTCGTATGATGACTCTTGCGCAATAATACAATGTACATTGTACGTACTGTACGATGACGTGGTGACGGCTATCTGGCAAAGACGTCCAGTATTGTAAGTATTTGTAACTGCTACGCGTACTTCCCACAGTATACAAATCAGGGACTACTAAGCAACGAGAGAGAGAAAAACAATAATCTAGATGCAAGCCTATTACTGTAATGATATTGCATAATCACATTGGAATTCAATAGTAGACATATTTTAAGTTTTGCATGCTTCAAATCAGCTATCCGCCACTGAAACCTTCTTTATCCGGTTTTTTAGTTTGATACTTGCTCGACACGATTTGCATTTACTCTACATTAGGTGCATAGAAACTTTCCATAAGTTTCTGCCAGTACTATACTGTACTATACTTTACTGTACACTTAGCGAACTCTAACTGAAGTTCACTTGAAGTCCACAACACGTCACGTTCAAATCCAACTTCACACGTTCCCAATAGGTCACCGTATGCAGAACTGGATTCATACTGGCTACCGTACCAGTACTGTACAGTACAGTCAATGTTCTCCTTTTTTTAGGGTACTTTTTCGCGGCAGATCCACTGTAGGACGTAGAAGCCCAAGTGCTGCAGCTATTGTTTGGCGTGCGCGCGCATATCGACAACATTTACTCCTGCAGGTTGCTACCAATATGGAAGGGCAGAAAATGTCAGGTGGCGAAGCACAACTCTTACGTGGAGATGTTGTTGCCAAGTAAGTTATGACGATTAATTCTTAGCTTTCACTATAGAGATATTTTGCCTTAACTATATCAATGTTAATTGCCAGATAATATTGTTTATTTATACGATTATCTACACTTGACCATCTTTGCAACAGTTAATTCGAGCAAATTATTGAATCTTGATTGCATCATTGCAGTTTAGCCCAGCCGTCAAAGTTGGGGTACATTTGTTGAAAGGTGTTCAACGGTATTAAAAGATGACGGGAAAAATTGAGTAGTAAATGTAGTGGATTAAGTACAGACCAAATTGTTGCATATACTATACAGTATTCTACTAATCTGCCTTTAAACTAATCACTGAATCAAGTTATTTTTGCTTTCCTTTTAAAATGTTAAGTAATCTATCTTGTAATCTGCGGTCGTTTCTTCTACCGTATGATGTCGATGTTGGAAGAGTTTTCTGTAATGGCTAACTACGTACCTACGAACACTGTACCGTATGTTTTAGTATTTCATTTCCAATCATTGTTTGCTACTTGCGGTAGCATCCTGTAACCGTATCGGATGGAAATTATAATAATTATATACTGTATACGTATACATAATTAGCGTTTAAATGCGTTGACTTTGTCGAATTTTGCCCATAGTTACTCTAGTTTATTATAATACTTACAGTTTAATTATAAGGCTTGAACTACAGGATCGATTTGAGTACAGCGTAATCCAATGGATCCCAATTTCAAAACGAGTACTGTACAGTTTTTCGTTTTCATACTTACATCAACTGGCAATCATAACCAGCGATAGCGATGAGGTTAACACCTATCAAATAACCTCGTTATAACCCCTAGTTATAGCTGCGATTAAAGGCTATTTCAAAGTCGGAATAGCCTCGAGCCGTTGAGCACATTTCTGCCACTAAAATACATAGAAACTATGCTGATGAATGGGTACATTTCGCCCGATTGGAAAAAAAAATTTATTTTCCGCTTTATTTTGCGATTTTATAAGTGTTGTGGGAAAGGTGAAAAGTGCCAAACTGTATCTCCCAAAAGAGCTGAGCTAGAACCCAAAGTAACGAAGGCCCGCTCTTACTGTACTGTACGTGTAGCACAATGGATAGGTAGCGCTATTCGCTGAGGTTACTACTTTGAGCCCGTCATAGTCCTTCTATCCTTTTTTATCCAAATTTATCAATATTTGTATTGTTTTTATTCAATTCAGTTAAGTTATGATTTACTATACTGTGCACACTGGGTATTACAGTAGATAACTTCAGCAGATTGGGTTATAATCATATTGTGCCTAAGTTAAATGGTATAACCCGGGCTAGTACCTTTTCAACTGAAATGTCCTTGCTATTTTCATCAACGACTATAGTAAATAATGAAGCTTAGCGAATTCTATCGGTAATCGCTGAAAAATTATTTTAGAATTATAATTTTCACTTTTTATAGAACCATAAGACAACAATTAGCTGAAGATGTCAAGAATATGACAATTAAGCCTGGTTTGGCGATCGTTCAGGTAACTTTAAAGATATTGTTTTTAACTTAAACATAGATTGATTAAAATGACGTCTTGTATTTACTACTATTTTATAATGAACGTAATTGGTCATGATCAATCCAGGTTGGCAGTGATGCGGCATCCAATAGATATACGAAACATAAACGTAAGGTCGCTGAAGAAATTGGAATTCGTTGCGATTACATCAACTTGCCATCGACAACTACCCAAGATCAGGCAAGATATACGTACCGTGGATACTGTGCTACTAGTAGCTTACTATGCAAACGTGTTATTTAAGCTATTGTGGTTTTCTTAACATTTGTGTTGTCTATGTTAATAACCTATGACTATTTAGCCACTAGATGACTCTGAGATTAAGTCACATTGTCATTTTAGATAATTAACCAAGTCAGGAAACTTAATGAAGACAACAATATCCATGGAATGATCGTCCAGGTTGTTGTTTGTAGCAATCTGTACTATTCCTTTATAATTTTTTTTTGATAAACTTTGCGAAATCCATGCAATGCATTTTGATATTATCTTCTCTATTTTTACCGTAGTTACCATTAGACTGTGTCAATCCTGTTGATGAATCTATTTGCATCAATTCAATCTCTCCGGAGAAAGATGTCGATGGGTAAGTAATTCTTGCTAGTGAATTGACTACATACTATCTTCGATACTGCAGTATGATTGGTAATTTATTTTTGATGCTGTGGTAATTTTCTGAGCTAATCATAAACCTTTCGTAGGTTAACCTTTGTAAGTGCTGGTAAGATTATGCAGCGGTCTGAAACCAGGTATTTCATCCCATGCACTCCGCTTGGATGCCTAAAACTCATACAGCATTCAGGTACATTCACTCACATGATTAATAAATCAGAATGATTCAATTCTACCATTTTTATAATATAGTACAATAATCTCTTAGTACATTATTTAATTTCGAGGTAAAATTTGTAACGATTTGATTGTCATCTCTATCAGGGGTTGGTATTGCTGGTAAAAAAGCTACCGTTGTCGGAAGAAGCAAAATTGCTGTAAGCAAACAGTCTATTTCAGTTCAAATCATCATTTACTTCTGAAACCTGATTTGCTAATGTATCCAAGTTAACCACTCATGCACCTAATTGATATATCGATCAATTTCTTTGTGTGTAAGGGTGCACCTATCGCTAAGCTACTGAGCAATCAGAACGCCACAGTTACAGTGTGTCATTCAAAAACTGTTGGATTAGAAAATGAGGTAATAACTTTTGTTAACATTTTACTGGTGGTGCGATACCAGCTTTTATCCTGTCACCAAATTAATGTATTCACTTTACAATAACTTGGATCAGGTCAAAACTGCGGATATCGTTGTCGTAGCCATTGGGCAGTCAAATGCTATTAAGGTTATTCAATTTTTCCCTCAACAAATTGCATGTTCCTTCGTACTTACATAGCTTTATCCCAAAATCTCATAGGGTGACTGGATTAAACCTGGAGCCGTCGTAATTGATTGTGGAATTAATCAGATACCAGGTAATGTTGCCATATTTTGGCTCAGTTATTTGCCTGTTGCATAAAGGAGCCCTTACGACTTTTTTCGTATAGTTCAAAAGCGATAATATTTTACGTAATATCTTACTACCTAAAGATTCAACGAAAAAAAGTGGTTTTCGCTTATGTGGAGACGTTGACTTTCACGAAGCTAAGATGGCAGCTTCATGGATTACTCCTGTTCCCGGAGGAGTTGGACCTATGACAGTAGCCATGTTGATGTCAAATGCTGTTTTAAGTGCCCAATGGAAGGCATCATTTGAGGTCTGCTTATTATTGTAACGGAACTAATAATTTTTTGTTACTCTAGGACAGAGTATCAGTTTAAAATAATTGTTGCGCTCATTTAAGTTGATAATCATTTTTGTAGACCACTTGGAATACCAGCTATCTGCCATTGCGCCTTCTCGAGCCAGTACCAAGTGATATCGAGATTGCCCTTGCCCAAAAGCCTAAAGATGTTGCAGATCTTGCTAGAGAGGTGGGAATATTACCTCACGAACTTGAACTGTATGGGAGAAAGAAGGCTAAAATCTGCCTTGAAGTTTTAGATCGTTTAAAAAATAGTGATAATGGAAAATATGTTGTCGTTACGGGGTAATTAAAACGTGTTATGGTACCGTAGTTATTTTATTATGTTCTGCACTGAATAAGCTTAGTAACATGTCTTTATGTTGATACTGCAAACAGTATTACACCTACTCCTCTTGGTGAAGGCAAAAGTACTACAACTATCGGTCTCACTCAAGCTATTGGTGCTCATTTGAGAAAGAATGTTTTCGCTTGTGTTAGACAACCTTCTCAAGGGCCAACATTTGGAATTAAAGGTTACATCGGAAGATCTAGGCTTATCTATGTAGCATGCATTCAAAAACGCTTATATACTTATCTATTACTTTCTTTACTGTTGAACTAATAAAGAGTCTTTTAAATGCCAGGTGGGGCTGCTGGAGGTGGATACTCACAAGTTATTCCCATGGATGAGGTGATTATAAGTTATTATTGTAACATTTTACCAGTGTATTTATCGAGATATATGCATGTGTTATTCGTGTTTTGACCATAGCATCTGTTATTCTACTGCAAATGTAGTTCAATCTTCATCTTACGGGAGACATACACGCTATAACTGCATCGAATAATCTTTTAGGTAGGGATTGGAGCAACCCTCGTTCATTGAATGTAACTAGTTAGATCATTTTTCATGTACCCAATCGCTATCATATAAGTTGAAATATAAGTTATTTTAACTGTATGATTATACAGCTGCTGCAATTGACGCAAGAATGTTTCATGAAACTACACAAACTACTGAAGTAAGCATCAGATTAATATTTTCTCTTGAATTATAAAAGATACATGCGAATCTATTTCTTCCCGTAACACCGTATCTGAATTATACAAAATTGCAGGCACTTTATGGGCGCCTTGTACCTTTAAAAGATGGTAAAAGAGTTTTTTCGGAAATCCAGTTGCGCCGTTTAAGGGTAAGTTCCGTTAGATTTTCCACTATTCTCTTAAGGCATTCTAGTTAATTACTTAACTTATTGTTACAAAATTTCTGAAACTTAGAGATTAGGCATAGATAAGACTGATCCTGATGCCTTAACTGAAGAAGAATATACTAAATTTGCGAGGTTGGATATAGATCCTTCAACAATTACTTGGCAGAGAGGTAGCGCAAATAATCCGAAATTTACGAATTTACGAAGTGTAGATTTTTGTGGCGCTTACAGACCTGCTGCAATGTTCCAAATTTTTGCAAATAGTCATGTAAACATAAATTGCCCTTCTTTGTTGTTCAGTCATCGATACCAATGACAGATATCTACGTAGCATCACAGTCGGAGAATCCCCTACCGAAAAGGGTATTACCAGAAAAACTGCATTCGATATAACAGTTGCAAGTGAGATAATGGCAATACTTGCTTTGTCGACAAGTTTGGAAGACATGAGAGAAAGGTGCCGCTATAGATTTGATTCGAAAGTGTTTGATCTTGAAAAGGCTATTTCAATTAAGTTTTTTTATCATTGTATCAGGTTAGGTAAGATGGTTATAGCAAGCAACAAATCAGGGCAACCTGTTACTGCTGATGATGTGGTATGAATCGATTTATTTTATTGATAATAAGTATATTCCAGTAACGGAAAAAAGTTATAACCGCCATTTTATCGTTGGTTAGGGAATTACTGGAGCCCTTACAGTTCTTATGAAAGATGCTATTAAGCCAAATCTTATGCAAACACTGGAGGTTAAATTACATAGAAGTATACAAATAGATTCATGATAGTTTTTATCCTTTTCATGGTCATATTGGCTATTTTTTTGACAGGGAACACCTGTATTGGTACATGCCGGTCCTTTTGCTAATATTGCCCATGGTAACTCGTCTATATTAGCTGATAAAATCGCCTTGAAGCTAGTCGGTCCTGAAGGATACGTTGGTTAGTCTTTGTATGGAATATAGTGTTGACCATATGATTGGTAGAATTTAGTGATAAATTTTCTTATGTATTAGTCACTGAGGCTGGATTTGGTGCAGACATTGGCATGGAGAAATTTTTCGACATTAAATGCAGAGTCAGCGGTTAGAATCACTTTTGACTGTCTTTTTTAGATAAAATAAATTTAAATTGTTAGCTGGCATCTATTTTAGGATTGCTTCCAAGTTGTGTTGTTTTGGTTTGTACGGTTCGAGCTCTGAAAATGCATGGGGGAGGACCGAAGGTAAATTTTGTGTTTGCTAACGTTGTTAAGTAATTGGATATGATTGTTATTTGATAAACTTATGCCGCTTCATTTTTCGAAGGTTGTTGCTGGCCAACCTTTATCGAAAGCCTATAAAGAAGAGGTATTTGTACTATCAATAACATCTAATTTTATTTTACGTCATTAAATTCTAAATATTCATTTAAATTATTTTGTAATTTGCAAACTAGCATATCGACTTAGCAAGAGCTGGATGCTCAAACTTGAAGAAACAGATACAGAATGCAAAATTGTATGGAATTCCTGTGGTTGTCGCCATCAATAGATTTGTGTAAGGCTAAGTCGTGCTAGTGTAACTGCTATGGTTAATTTGGTTATAATAATGGCAAATTATTACTAATTACTTGCATTAATTAGGAGCGATACAGAAAATGAACTGGCTGCTGTTAGGGAAGAAGCTATTTCAGCTGGAGCTTTTGACGCAGTGGTATGTTCCCATTGGAAAGAAGGGGGTATGTAGGTCGTACTTGTCATAACTCAATATCAGCAAGAATTTTGACTATTTAGGGTAAACTTGTGATCCTATAACAATTAGGTAAGGGGGCTGTAGCTTTAGCTCAAGCTGTGGATAAGGCAACTGCGCTACCTAGCAATTTCCAGTTCTTATACGATCTAAAGGTAGATTTTTATAAATGCTAATTGCATATAACTTAATGTCGTTATATTTCGTAGTGTCATTTCGTTCACTACTATACTAACGTACCCCGAAACCGGTGCATATGCGAACAGGCATGGACTCACAATAAATATCAGCAGTATAATTTCATTGTTTGTAAAATTTTCTCCAGCTTTCTGTTGAAGAAAAGATTGAAGCTATTGCCAAAAACATTTACGGCGCTGATGGAGTTTCTTACTCGGATGAAGCCAGGCGAAAAATCGATTTATATCGTAGTCAGGTATGATATCAATGATATTTATAGCGTTAATGGGGTATAATGTTAAGACTACGTGGAACGGAGTGGTATCTCGTCTTCAATCATTGTATTCTAATGTTATTGGACGGCTTTGTTCATATCGAAGCGATATCATGACATGATTGTGCATGCTCATAAGTGCTCCGATCTTTTACACTCTTTCATCGTATTTTCAATCTTCTAGTGACATAAATCGTAATTATTGATTAGTGAATTATTCATAAAACCATTGAGCTATTAAAAGCTTTTAGATTGCAATAAATAACGATAGCATTAAAAAATTACATATTTGGCTGTAGGGTTTCAACGATTTGCCTATTTGCATGGCTAAGACGCATCTTTCATTATCTCATGATGCAACTTTAAAGGGAGCACCTTCGGGTATGCAATATTATGGACTCTGATATGATGCTCACTTAATTTATTAATCTGTAATCTTTGTGTTATCATTATTAATAACAAGGAATGAATACACTATGTTTTCGGATTCTGTTATAGGCTTTACATTACCAATTCGAGATGTGCGTGCTAGTGTCGGTGCAGGTTTCTTGTATCCACTGGTCGGAACGGTTAGCCTAAATTTTTGATTTAATGTGTACCTTTATAATAATTGTCAAGAAAGTAAAGTTCGGTATAACCTGTTATTGATTTAGTCTTATAGCAATGTGTTTGCCATGTTTGATATTACACACATTAGCAACTATATCATATGAATTACTAACGCATTTTTTTACTATGACATAGATGAGCACAATGCCTGGATTACCGACCAGACCTTGCTTCTTTGATATTGATTTAGATTTTGAAACAGGAAACGTGGTTGGTTTATTCTAATAATGTGTAACTAAGTTTTTAGTTTGAGCTATTAAGCGCTATATGAAGGTTCTTACTTGACGTCAAGGTTGTCGCATCAAATAATTTATGCCACTTAAGTATCCGCGTAACTTAAAACGCAATAAATGCTTGCTAGCTAAGTGATTTTGATTGACGGAATTTTTTCTTATTACGGCTAAGGTGATATTCGATATCAGTGTGGACATTTATAGTTAGGGTTGGGATTATAGATCAGAATTACTCTCAATGTAATATTCGAAATAGTGGAATGCTAAGAAGTATGTGGATCTTGACGGTATTCATGACAATGGATTATTTATTAGTACGTTATAAGAAGGGGAATTACAGATTGTACCCTAATCCTTAAAATGTAACTACAAGATCGTGGTTGTACTTATGTTGGCATTTGATATGATGTTCATAATTGGTTTAGAGATGATTCATCTTATCACTTGATATTCATTTGTTATGAGCAAGAAGTATTCAGTATTAACTTGTGAGATACAGACGTAGATCTGCAGCATTCAAGCGATTATACGGAGTATTTGATACTGGGGAATAAAAGTGAAAAAAAAATGATGTGTTCTATGCACCTATTCTGTTACTGCCTTAGTAACTGCACACCCTGACAACGAAAAAATCGATCATGTTTACAGTAGGGAAATTTAATCATTTGCAGATTATCGCTACTATGAGTGCTGTATATATTAAGTTATAAGATACTGATAGGTATTACATTATCATTTAATTGCAATACTTGAATCGTTCTTTGGCACGAGTACTGTAGAAGATGATTTTATTAACTTCATACTTATCGTAAGCATACGATTACGATAGATATAATGTGAATTGATATCCAATTTTCTTTATTATTTTCGCGCTTTGTTGCAATACAGATATCGTTAATAGGATGAAGTAATCGGCAGTCATTACCTTTGATATTTTTCCTTCTGTTATGCACATATCGATGGATATGTTACAAGTTATCAATCGGGGATATTACGATAATAGTGTATCTTGCTTCACGACGTAATCAATAGTACATTTATACTACAACAGTATCATCAGATTTGTTCAACAGCAAACTTATTGTAGGTTGACAATGATAGATATTTTAGTTCTCTTCTTTTCGGATAGATGACGTAATTGGAATATTGACGTTACCTTGCAGCACTATCATGCACGCCATTCGGTGATATTAATACTCGTGCATAACATAAATATAGACAGGTCGATTAGCATGAGTATATAAGTACAAATAAATACATAGGCTAATGAATTGATGATAAATACTATCTATCTCAACTTTTCTTATATAACAGTGCCATGGTTGCATCCAATTTCTCTACTCAATTTATATATTACATCCATAATTATATAGTTCAAAGAAATGCACTGATAAACAATGCATCTGCAGTTTGTAGCACCTGGATGAAGCTGCCATTTATGCCATAGGATGGTCATCTATGGTCATTTTCTTGGATTTTGGAGGATGCATCATTACGTCATAACGCTGTGCAGCACCGGTTATATATAGATTGATAGTACTGTACTTGTACTGTGCACTGTGAAGTACAGTACTGTATACTGTAATAGTATGAATGAAGGGGCTGCCGCATGACTGCATGACTCTGAGATCTATTTTTGGCAAGCTTTGGTAACTGACAGTACTACGTACTGTAGAGTACAGTACCTTGCACGTTAATGTACTGTAAATCGTGTAGGCAAGATGACTCATACTACTCATACAATACAGTGGAAACTGTACTAATCATGTATACTGTACAGTATTATCTCAGTCTACCAAGCGACTGGAAGTTAAGTTTAAGAAGACTTTTACAAGCAATCGGTACGGTACAATATATTCAATCTACAGTACAGTACTGTACTGTACTGTAGGCGGAAGACACACAACTGTATGAAATCGCGCTTGAGTTTGAGTTCATTTACGCCCTTCTCAACTGCAACGTTTGATTGTACTTTTACTCTTGTACTGTACAAAGGTAAAGCAAAGGAACTTGGGTACAGCCATCAGCCTGCATGGCGTACGCGATGCAGCAAGAGTCCATAGCCAAACCCCTTCGTCCCAGGTACACTAAAAGTGAGCACACGTACTGTACAGTACAGTACACGTAATCACGTACAGTACAGTACTGTACACGTAATCACGTACTGTACTGTCATCCGTCATACTGTAAGTACTGTACTGTACACTGTAGTACAGCAGACCGTGGATTTTTAGCAGGTCAACGGCACTTGGCTCTTTCTTGTGACAAGACGACGGCAATTTTGGGCTTCCATTTTGGCCTGGCTAATCAGTAAGTTGCTCATTCTTACGACATATGTCATTCATTAACTGAGTTTAGCCATAATGTGTCGAGTAGTTAGCCACAAGGGTAATGGTAACGATAAGATCGTAATATTGCAGTGGTGACGTATTAGCAACAAACGATCCTTTCCACTACACTACTGTACTTCTACCCGTCGTAGCTGTATACAGTAGGTGGGTTGTACTGTAGGTTACTGCTGGAAAAAAAAATCACAGATAGCTCTGAAAGTGTGTTTGCAATTATCGAAGCATTCAATGTTAACCATTTATCAATGATAGTTCAAGTAGTACGGCTAATCTGAACGATACAAAACGGTTGATCGTGTTTCGTTAAATGACTCCACTTTTCGCCAAATAGCAGTGGATATTCGCTTTAGCAAACATTGCATTTCAATATTGTAAATCCATTCTAGGCGTTGGTACAATACTCTACTTAGTGCAAGTTCTAACTGTCAATCCCAAATTTACTCCAACTTAGTACAATTACATTCATTGAAGAAGGAAAGAAAACATCGATTGCCTTCGCCTAACGCTTGTTCCAAAGTGCTTGAATAAAGATACCCAAAAGTTCGCTTGACTTGGCAATTTGGAGAAAAGATTGACTGAAGACCAATATACTGCCATGTTTAGTTGGTTAAAGAGTAGTGAAGCTAAAGAACCTGAGGTGTTCAACTCAGTCGTCGATGGATTGAAAAAAATTTACAGGCATACCATTCGCCCTTTAGAAGATGCATATAAATTTCACGAATTTCATTCACCTCCAATGGAAGACCCTGATTTTTTTGCCAAACCAATGATATTATTGATTGGTCAATATTCAACTGGTAAGACCACATTTATACGATATCTACTAGAACGAGAATTTCCTGGTATGAGAATCGGACCCGAACCAACAACTGATTGTTTCGCTGCTGTCATGCACGGAGAAACGGAGAAAGTCATTCCTGGTAATGCTTTAGTAGTTGATCCAGCTAAGCAATTTCGTGGCCTGTCGCGTTTTGGCAATGCATTCTTGCAACGATTTTGTGCATCTGAAGTGAATAGCAATGTCCTAGATCATATCACCATTATTGATTCACCTGGTATTCTATCTGGCGAGAAGCAACGCGTATCACGCGGTTATAGTTTCACTGGGGTTATCGAGTGGTTTGCTGAAAGAGTAGATAGGATCATTTTATTGTTTGATGCCCATAAATTGGATATTTCTGACGAATTTCGCTCTGCTATCAAATGCTTAAGGGGCAATGATGACAAAATTCGCATTGTGTTGAATAAAGCAGATATGATTGATGCTCAACAGTTAATGAGAGTTTATGGTGCTCTAATGTGGTCGCTTGGAAAAGTTTTAGGCACACCTGAAGTTGCTCGTGTTTACATTGGATCCTTTTGGGATCAACCTTTACGTTATGACGACAATAGAAAGCTTTTTGAAGTAGAACAACGCGATTTATTTGAAGATATTAGGAAATTGCCACGTAACGCAGCATTACGAAAGCTGAACGACTTAGTAAAAAGGGCGCGACTTGCTAAGGTACGCTAACTGCTATGAGATGAATTCCCTCGTTCAGATAAGATTGCTCTAAGATTGGGTAGTATTAATATAATTAGTGATACTTGTAAAAATGTACTAATTTTTAAGATACAGTAAATCATTTTTAGTATACGCCTATCATTAATATACATTCGTCCTCAGGACTCCATTTGATTAAGTAAACATAATGCTGTACAATAATTATGAGTAGACCAATAACTTCAAACAAGATAGTTGTAGTTTTTGTGCGATAATTAATACATTCTTTGTCTAGACTATTGTTGATTATATTGCCCTTTCATATTGGTCTACTGTAGGTCCACGCACTTGTTATTTCAACTCTAAAGAAGGAAATGCCCTCTATGTTTTATAAAGACTCTAAAAAGATGAGTTTGATTGATAATTTGGAACAAATTTACGATCGAATAAGCTCTGAACATAGTGTATCTCCCGGAGATTTTCCTCCATTAGCGATGATGCAAGAGAAATTGAGAAAATATGATTTTAGCAAATTTTCATCCTTAAAACAAAAAATGATTGACGAATTGGATAGAGTTATGGGTAATGAAATTCCTAAATTAATGTGCATGGTTCCTGAAGAGGAGAAAATGGAAGGCGATACCACTGTTACTGGTGGAGCATTTTCCGCAACTGACAATGCTCCGTTTAACCAGAATAAAGCCTTAGGAGCTGATGAAGGTGGAGAAACAGATTGGGTTATATTTGAGAAAAAGGAAGAAAAATATGACGACATATTCCGTAAACTCAAGCCTAAGAATGGTAAGCTCAGCGGAGAGCAGGTGAAGACTGAAATGACCAAATCGAAACTTCCCAACTCTGTCTTGGCTCGTATTTGGAAACTATCAGATCTTGATGGTGACGGCTATCTAGATGAAGATGAATTTGCAGTAGCAATGTATTTAATTGAGTATAAGTTAGAAGGTCAAGACTTACCATCCGAATTACCTGTTGGTGTAATCCCACCATCTAAGCGTAAAGGTGATCAGGGTGGTAATCCATTCTAATAACACTTTTTGATTTGATTGTAATGTATTGGTACCAAAATTCAGTATTCTCACTAGAAATTGAACCGATTATAGCTATGAGCCTTGGGGGTATTTATAGGATATAATGCTTTACATGGACGTGTGGCCTGATAGAATTTCTAGCTAATTAATTTTGTGGTGTTGTTATTAACAATAGATAAATATAAATTTCCGTAAAATTATTATTTTTAGGGCATATTCGTTTTGCAATTTCTGGTAATTATATCTGGTAATACTTGTTCATGACGTACCGTTATCAACGAAATGATAACCACTTTTTTTTATGTTAGGATATGATCATACTTGTAGACTTTATCTGTCGCGTCATCATATAATCTATTGCAATGGTGTTACAAACTTGCAAGCATTCATCAGTTAAAATTGATGTTGAATGCTTCTTGAGACAAAAATTACGTTAACCTCTATTAATTTTTAAGCTGTGACTTATAGTGCAATAGCAACTTGGCGTGATGATGTTATTTTTAAACTCTGTTAATGTAATTGTCCTCAATTTCTGCTGTAAGTTTCCTTTCGTAGAACATTAGATTAGAGTTATAGTAATAACTAGTAATTATTGCAATTAAATTACCATTGCTGGAGTATCCAGCCGCATATGTATATTTATCTTTCTTTCTAGATGTCAATTTCAGTAAGTAGCAAATTGCGCATGCTAGGATAGATAGGCATATGTTAGAGTGTTACCTACCAAAACTAAGCTGTTCCTATCAATTTGCTCTGACGGATTTACGTTTTAGTTTTATGGCATCATTACGTACGATATTGTAGTTATCGCAATCTCAATTATTGGCTGGATTAGCACTTGGTTTTAGCAACTACTGCGTTTAAGTACGTGCTGCACTTATAGCGTTAGGTATCGTTCTTCCAATAGTCCACTACATCACCCTGGCTGAGTTGTAGCACCTGCACGAACTTGCAAACTTTGGTTTGTAGCGTTTTTTGTATATCCAGTGGAAGTGATGTGTTGCATTTATAAAAATATAGTTCATGCGATAAGATTGACCGAATTTGTATATTGATGACTCAGCAGAATAAATGAAATTTAATGGAAAAGCTGACGGAAAGAAGATTTATTTTATATAATAGAGAAACTTGCTTTCTCTTACATTATTTGGACTTTATGACCTTAGTGATGCTATAGACCGTTATTCTGCACTCATGTATCCTAATTAATACCAAATGATAACTTTATCATTAGAAATTTGATAACCTGACAGAGAAGTTAGTGGCTCGGGTCTCATATCGATGTATAATGTTCAAGTACAGTGTTCAGGTATCATTTAGATGCAATGCTTTAAACAATTGGCAGACTTCGAAGGTTACACACACTCCTACGAGTATGTCGTTTCGAATTCATCTATTCTCAGTCACACTGTTTTAGACCATAAGTTTTGTTCCATTTTCTTCCTATACCTATGCACTGTTAGCTAAGTAACTGGTTAAGGCTTCTATTTCAATATATATTACTAGATGGTAATCTTAAACTATACTAAGTTGAAACATACTTACATTAAGGTGATGATAATAATGAGCGTCGTGCCTGTTGTGCATTAGTTCCTGTACGTGTACGAGTATATCATTTAGAAATACTTATTACTGTTCCTGTCTACTACGTATTGTTTATAAGTTGTTGACAGACCTCAGCATTGATATCCTTTTACATATACGTATTTATAAACTTATCTAGGATATGTGTAAGGGTATTCATACAAGGTATTGTATATTCTATCAACAACCTGATATTGTGGAAGTAATTAAGCCTACAGTAATAGTATCTGGGTTATGATTCAAGCCTTTCTGTTGCTTTCGTGTATGTCACCAAATACAATTATGTGTACAATGCTCTTCATGCACGTACACAACATATCCTCTCAAAGATATTTATAATGGACGTTAATTTTGAGCAAATATGATTATGTAGAGTAGTATCATATAATAAAGTTTTGAATTTAGTCAGTTCTGTATGACCAATGTTTACTTTTAACATATAAAGTATTGTGATTAGGAGTGATGGTATAATTACGTTAATATTGAAATCGTCAATACGTCCATTGCAAAATGCAACAAATTGACGACCGTATACGTCTGGCAGATTTATAACTATGATTTTGAATGACAATAACCAATAACGTAGTGGATGCGAAATTACGTAACCCGGAATCCATGGTATATTGCTCGTTGCATCCTCGTCATCAATGATCAAGGATTCGCTCATTGCGTTTTAGCTAATAGCGTTATTGATATCAGACTTGCTACACTTGCATTATACGATATTGGTCGATACATCGCCTACAGTAAGTTTTAAATTATTTTCATTCTTTGGATTATGGCCTTATTATCCTTTGGTTTATTTATCTACTAAGTGTAATTAATTCATTTTTATAGTCGTATACGCATATTATTCTTTCTTTTGTTTATAATTTATTCTCGCGAAGTAATGATAAGAAACGGTATTTATGAATTCATTGTCATCACTTCATATGGCTCTTCAAGCATTATAACCTATTGTTATGGATAATTTCTCTATAATGTTTGTTGGCTAATTATTGGCTAAATTAATTCCATGCCTTGATTCAATACTTCAACCATCCAGCTGCTGGTTCGAATTAACCATAAATATATCTGCTGATAAAATACAATGATGGGAATTTATATTCTTCTAGAACGATACCGGGATAGATATATTTCGTCATAACACCAACAAGATTAATTGCATGATATCTAGTAATGAAGAAAAGAATATCAGACCATTGAAGTGTGAATAGAATTACTTCGCTTAATCCTAAACTCTAAGCGTAATATAGTATTTAATACAGCAGACGATCGTAGTCTAGCTTCTAGTTTTGATATTCATTTTAATGAGAACTGTGTTGTTCAAGGATCAATTTACAATTGATTTAACAGTTATGAGGTAACGAAGAAGCAAAATCATAGAAGCGCACATATATAATTTGTATGGCATTATGACTAATAACCCACTTCAAGAATTTTTTCTTATTTTTTTCTTACAGCTATCGAAGATAAGCTTTAAACAATCAAGATTGCAAACTATCGGATAGTGATCCATTGTATAATTGAGGTAAATCAATGGATTTATAGTAAGGTTGTTTTCATTTTGTAACGACGACGTGAAGGCGACTTATACCACGTATGTTAGTATTCCCTGCTATTTAATTCCAATGTGAATGCGCGTTCTGCCCATAAATTAATAATAATCCCACATTTATGCTACTTTAACATCGCGGGATGTACACCGAAAAATACAGCATAATATAGCGTATCTACAGTACTTCTGAGTAGTTGTCATCTGTGATCAGCAGAAAGCAACTTCAATCTGAGACGAAAACGGCTTTAGTTAAGTCAATATCGCACCGTATCCGTAGCAATTTACTACTGACTTGTCTAGTTCAATTGTAGATGCAATGTCTTTTACGTGTATTCCGCTCATTTCCTTTACTAGTCTGTGACAAATAAAGCATTACGCTAGCAATCTATTGATATTTTCGGCTAATTTTTCGACGAGATCAATTTAACTGACTGTGAATGATTGAATAGTCAGTGGTTTATCTGCTTTCAAAGATCCTCTTGACAAGCTAGCATAGCGTTACGGATGCTTTCTTATTCATTGAGAGATACAACGAATGATCTGATACGCTATAAGACTTTATTGCTTGTAATTTGGATTTGATCAATCCTTCCATACCTGATTGTTGTAAAACTGTAACAAATTTTATCGAAATAATCATCGATTAGTCTAACCATTCCTTGAGGTATACCCTAACCCTAACCCTTGAATGACATCATCAGGTTACAAGAATTGATTTTACTGCTTGCCTACTCAGTATTGAAACCGTAGGTATGAGTCATTGGTGAGTCATTGGAGCAGTGACCGAGGACAGTGAGTTGGTGCACAGTAAACGAACAATCAGGGAGTACGATACGGTACGGTACTAGTACAGTACGTCATGATTCTTGACTGCGCAGTGACTGGTATTTTGAAGATGTTATACGCATACTGGACCTATCCAGTACAGCATGTATTGTCTAGTATGTACCATGGACCGTATGGATTTGTTATCTATATACACAGACAGTATGGTATCCGTTTTGTGTATTATAGGTGGACAATGTACCATTTTTTTTTAACATTCCTCATTCGAAAATGGAAAATAACCTGAGGGAGATGTCGTAAAAATCCTTCGTTATCAATGTCAATATGGTCAATACTGTACATTTATATAAGAACGGTATGATGAAATAAAAATGGATCAACTATTGGTTGGGTATGGAAATATTGAGAATAATTCTTCACTAATCGCAGCGATCTCATTGACTCTGTACTGTACCCGTGAGATCTAATAGAGACAGTCTTGATCAGTCAGTGCGGTCATGGACGCGTGGTCTACACCCCATAGTATCGTACTACCAAGAGATAACGAAAGACTAGTAAAGAGAGAAGAGAAATCGCACTCTTCTCACTTTAATAGTCCATGATACTACAGACAGTAATACCCCATTTACTTTCCAATCTAAAAAAAAATAAGATCAACAGTAATATCCGGCTCTTACAATATTAAACATGGAAATTGGTAGGACTGTCGACGCCCACAGTCAGGAGTGTTTTTGAGCGGGGTTTGTTGAGCCGTCCATCCACGGTATCGTACAGTACAGTCAGTATACATTGGGTACAAGACGGTTGAACCCACTGGTATCACCTGGTATGTTACACAGTGACTCCCATGTACAGTATGACGGTTCATACCGACTGAAGCTTCTTCTGTTCGTCACACGTCCGTCCCATGTGACACAACATTTCACAGTTGTCGCCGTCGTGACATACCTATTTATTACAACTGTTGCCCGTGTGAGTCACCTTATTTGTATTCAGGTCAAGAAGGAGAAATTGGCGTTCACTGAATTGGCAAAGAATTGGCAAAGAAGCTGCTTGCAAAAGTTCCAATATTGCTAATTGAACAGACGATTGCCTTACTTGTGGTATTGATTGATTGCTAGAAAGGTTGTATTGCATCAATTGGCATTTGATTGAAAAGATTTAGCGCTAATTTACATGACGACAATCAAGTCAGTGCCGCGGTAGCTGCAGGAAAGTTCAAATATTCAGCCGGCTAAATTCCAAACTCAGCACTGTCCAAAAAAAAAAATTGCAGTCAATGGTGGCCTATCTGTTAGCTACAGAAGAGAAAAAATAATCCAACAAATTTTCCTGTCTCTATTTCAACGTATAAATTACAAGATTATTCATTCGTTGAATTCGTAAAGATTAAATATTCATCCAACTTGGTATCGTGGCTAGTTACTAATTCATTGACGAGGAAACAATTAGTCATTGAAGTCATCATCACAACTGGATAACCTGCCATCCAGTGCCTGACAGTCCCCCCCTCCCATTCATTATTTATATATGTTATACAAATTATCATTCTTTTCAAGCGGTATCTGGATAAAACGTCATGAAGAAATTTACCCGTACTTTAAGCTTTCGACGCAAGCATGCACCTAAAACAACCTCCTCAGAAGATCAGCGATCATCCTATTGGGAAGAGGATAGCTACAAAGTCAAACATGGTCAAATTGTCTTCCCTGTCAAGGTAAATCTAGTGGTCGTGTCATTTCCAATTTATAGTTAATCAAGATTGAGTTGCTATCTTCAATCTTTGTCGTACAGTAAATAGTCATTTATTATTTATTATTTTTATTCTATCAGTGTTGTACTACCCTCATTCCATAAACATCAACTTGTTTTATATACTGTATGACTTATTCTTAAGTCTTAACGTTTATTAATTGAGAAGGAAATATTTTGGTAGTAACACCAACAACAACAACAATACAAGTCCGTCACAATGCTTTGGATTGTTGTTAGTAATATGAGTTACAAATACTTTACTATGCAGTCATCTGGGTTGGATTGCCATTTTGAACGAGCAATCGTGATACGTTAGTAGCGAATGCTATAAGGTAACTCGGCTACTTATCTTTTAAACTGCTTGCAGTCAAGATTTTGCAAGTTGTACAATTCATCGACTGTACTTTAGTTCACAGTTTTTTCTAAAATGATCACAATCAGTGATTGCTTTCTTATCTATTATACCCGCTACTGTAGTTATCTGTTAACTATTTTCTTACCAGCAATAATTATTTACAGTATCTGGAGACGTAGTGAACTTTAATTATTTGCTATTGCTGTACGTAAGGCGTACCTACCATACGGCGATGCTACCAGAATCAGAAATTGCTATTGATTTTGGTATAGCCAATTATTCATAAATGACGGACAAGTTGATCATTAAGCAATAAATGACAACAGCAAAGTACCCTAATATTCTTGGTTGCTTTAATTTTAAGGACAGGCAAAAATTGCATTTTCAATACAGCAGAACTTGATCGCCGATCATCATCATCCGAGTTTCGTTTTACCTTAAATTACCGTATATTACATCATATGTTTTGACAGTTGGCAAGGCTAATGAAATCAAGTGAACGATTCAATTTTTGGATTTCGTAAGAAATTACAATGTTCATATGCTATACAGTATAGTGCAATCTCCCTTTACACTAAATCATTTAGTAGCCACATCATCTGTAAATCTTTCAACTTTGTATGTAGATTCAAATCTTACTATCCATGTTTTTCAATAAGCCAAGTTACTGCTAGAAAGAGATCACGTATAAAATGAAATAAAATTGAAGATACCTAAAGTGATGATTGTGAAAATTTCTTTAACCTTTTATGATTGCCTTAAGATTTCTTAATTTGTTGTCTTAACTTTTCCTTACTGTTTACGTGTGATTTAAGATCAATGTAATACCTGCTCAATACTAATCGAGTATTCCACTTTTTTTACGAAACTGTTCAGCCGATTGCCCTTTTTTGATTGCAGTTTTGTTTCTTTAAATTATAGTATTTAGGTTCTTTAGAAGTAACTAAATCTCGTGGTACAGATATATGCCATGAAGCTGCAATGGCCATGATGAAGGTCAGTTAACTTTATCTCCCAAAAATTAGGAAAATTGTTCGTCTTTAATTAATTAATAATTGATTGATTAAAATAGACATTGCTTCATTTATCTGAGTATAGTATCATGCAAGCGTATGTGTGGAATGACGACACAATATGGTTCATTTAATCTCGTAGATTAAATTTTCATTTTTACATTTTTTCATTGATTTACGATCTGACGAGAACATTCCATCGCAATTTAGCAGTGATCGTTAAAATCAAAGTTATTCATTACTACCGCGATATACATCTGTATATATATAAACTGTAGTCATTTCAATTACTCTCCTGTACACTATTTGCCATTTTAAGTTTACGACGATACTAAGTCAATGATAGCTCAAGATGGAGACTATCCTGTATCGACGGAAATCTCCGGTGGATTGATGACCTGTCAGGTCTAGTGCTATGGTATTATTATTTGACTATAGATCTGATGGTTTTAGACGTACGCTTATACTGTAACATGATTAGGTAAACTCACTTCTACTCATAATTTTCTCTATAATAGCGACTTCTTTATTGATTCATCCTTCATTTGATTCTGTCTCCTACAAGTTTTTAGTAATTTCTTCTATAGAAAAGTGGTAAATTATACTGCATCATATGAAGAAGCATTAGTTAAGAAATCGACTGCAGTATGTGAGATCAACAAACTTCGTAAACAGCTTCGATAAACAATGGCATCAGCAGTGTAAAAAGTCAATAACAACGTAACAATGCTGTTGTAGAATTTCTAAAATTACTCCAGCATTGATCTACTGTATTTATCATACGAGTTGCTTGTATTGAAGCATTTACTATTAGAAACTTTATTTATGTTCACTCACTATTGGCTAGTATTGTACTCTGTCTAAATCACTTGAAAAAAGTGATCACATCCTACTTCAAAATAAGGGTGATCATGCACCCATTGTAATTTACACAGTAAATCGTTATTATTATCAATTAATTTTACAGACTACGGTACTGTATTTGCCCATATCTATCGGTCTTTCGAATACGTACTTGTAACTCAACAAATCACGATGCTGTGCTAAATACTGGGCGGGCGAGACAGCGGTCTATGATAACGGGATGATGAAGATATGAATTAGGATCTACATGCGATAGCGGCTAAATATGCTATAGTCCACAGCAATTCAATATTTGGATATTTATTGACAATAAAAGGATCATATCAGGGACTACTCAAAGCACATTAGTCTCTGATCATATGCAGTATTTATGCACCATATTTACATACTGTATGGTAGTTGGAACCTTCCGCATTATTACGATTATCGAATATAGTATCTTTGTTTCGATGGACGTATTGATGTTGACATTGATGTTAATGTCTTTTAAACTGGTATTAATATATCTATCACCTTTAACTCTGTTCTCACGGCGGTTGCAACTGGTCGTTATACTATACACATGCGATGAAATTGCTTGAATATGTATTGTTTCCTTGAGGGTGGAATTTAACCCGTTTCGATCGCTCAGTAACTAGAACAATTATCGTAGTCATGTTTATTTTTCAAGCCTTTTAAAAGTTTGAATGACAGCATAATGTTCGTACTGTAGTATTGTATATGTTATGTACTATATATATATGCTGGTGTAAAGTAAACTAATATAAATGTGCCTATCCAGTATTAATTTAAATTCGAGAAGGTTTGTTCATATTTGCTGTAATGCCATACAGTTCAGAAGGCGGAAAAAAATTCATGATTAATATTTATCCTTAAACTACAGATACTGCACACTAGGAGATTCTATACCAATGTCAATAAGATTTCTGCCTTATTACTCAATGCTTTGGTTATGCACTGTACTGTATATACGCGTATAACAAATTAAACTGTTGCAAGGGCAAATTTCTTAGAGCTATTACAAGCTATTATGCAGTTCATTCATAATCCTTCCTTCGTCGTTTACTTTTTGGCAGTAGCCTACTTGATAGTGCGCAGTATGGCTACTGTTTTTCACACATGCTATTCATGGCCGGTTAATCTGGTGTCTCTTCGATTTTATCATAAACTAGAGCATAAAAGTGCCTGTTATCATTCCTTGGCATACCTTTGCTGTTGCTTGATCCAGTAGTCAGCACCTCAGGCTCTCCGTTACTGTCTTCCAATCAAATTTAAATTTGATGTTTTCATTTTGTAATTTATAATCAACAGCTATTACATTCCATCTTAATAAGAATTGCCTTAGGAACTTGAATTTGTAAGTATATTATTAGGCCGCTGTCTATTCCCTTGAGGAGCTAGAAATTGTGCTGAATTAGTATGTCTACGTACAGTGATAGTCCATTGGACAGCATGATATAACCGCCTCGCTTTATTTTATTTGAGCTATTCGAAAATTTTAATCCATTTCTAGCTAATTAATTTAATCTTAATCTTAACGGAGATTATTGGAAGACATTGGGTGTTAAAATCGTGCTATGTACTTAAAATGACGCAGCCTTGATATTAACTTAACGTAAAGTTTAAGAGTAGTTAGATGACAATGCAATTGATTATTATTTGTCCACGGTAGACTATAAAAACGAAAGTTTATTGTCATATTGAAATTGTTGATGAATTGTGGAAAGCTATCAGCATAATATTAATACGTTTATTAAATGGACTCGCCAGATGAGATCATCTTTTTTCTGAGTGATCAACGCCTTCTGCACTAAAATCTGACAATAGAACCATTATTGAGATGACATCTTCTATTCTTTTATATAATTTAGAGCTTTCATTTAAATTATGCAGGATCTACTGGATTATTAGAATTTCGGGAATACGAGGGATGAATATAATTAATTGAGAATACAAAAATTTTTGAGTTTATTCTAATGTATATGCCAATCTCTGATCGCAATATTACAGGTGATATATTGTATAAACTACGAGCCAAGCGTCCGTAAAATGTAAAATTTATGTTCTTGTGGAACTAATGTATATAGGGGCTAAATCTAGGGTCAAAGTTATCTCTTATCAGTTATTCGTACTCTCTTTAATTAATGTTGAGAATGTAAGACTTGCAGGATGTTAGTCTTAGTAAAAGTCAGTGGTATGCCAACATGTAATGCTGTATTGATTTTACGGATTACGAATAATCTAAATATCACAGTTAACTGGTCGAATTCCTCTTCTCATGAGAGGTAATTCGATTAATTAGTATAATATTAAAATTATGAATTCGTGATACCAAATAAGCATTGCAGGCTGTTGCTTATAGGCACGATTAAATTACTAATTTGCCTGTACTATTTACCGTGACATTTCAATATTCATACATTAGGTTAAAAATGGTTAGAGTTTTTGCGGCCGTTATGCTAAGATTAGTAATTCTTAGTTAATTCAATGGACGTACGATAGATGTTGACTAACAGTTCGGTGTTTTCGGTGTATAGTTCTCTAATTAAAACTGATGTTATGCGCTCACGAAACAGTTGAATTAAAGGCTCACATCAGTTATGATCCTTAGTGCATCTGGCATAGTAGTATTTATTGTCATTAATTAATTCTTAAAGAAATTTACATCACCTTTTGAATAGCATTCGTGGCTAATCTACTCTACCAATTTAACACCTATACTTCTTCCTTAATTTCTTGTTTCTACTGGATGCAATTACAATAAATCATTGCTTTGGTAAGACTTAAAGATATACTGTAGTTCAAGCGACTAGATACTTCTATTGCGGGTTTATAAAGAGTTTTACAGATTGCATGACAACAGAAATTAATAAGGGTCTCTTTCTTCGGCTGACATTATTTGGTATGGGCCTCTAATTATATGACGAATTGATTATATTATAACTAATTGTGGATATCTGATAGGATTGGATTACGTAATTATATTTATGTTTGTGGCCTTAAGACTTAGAATGGGCCACTATCATAAAACATACCTTCTATGCCTTAGGAAAACTTTATCATAACAAAAAATATTGATCTTAATTAACGTTATAGATGACTGGACATTCTTTATTTCAAAGTATCAAAGAGTCTAGTTAATGTGGAATATTTTAATAGTATGATATGTAAATAAATGAAAAATATGGATAATCCCTTTCTGCATATAGATTCAGAATTTTTATTTTGGTGTTCAACTTAAAAGAAAATTTATTACCGGTGAAGTAATACCACATTGAATGAATCTTTAAATTAAACTTTTACTTCTATTTTAAAAATATTAAGAACCACAAAAGGAAGAAAACGAGCTTGGTAATCAACATCAATGGTGTTCGAGTAACAGATGAAAATACGAAGGTAAGTTTAATATTAATTAGATTAAAACTTAATCCTTAGTTTATTGTTTTACTGTCATTTTGTTTGTTGTTAGAAAAAATCTGCCGCATTAAATTATGTTTGCTAGAAATTGATAACGAAACCGACATTATCATAACGTATCGGGCATTATCGTCGCATAGAAATTACTTCATCTATATGTAGTTGAGCTTTTAGATTTAACTAAAACGGTGCTTTGTTGTATATGAAATAAAATACAGTTACAGCTATTTTCTCGAAAAAATTTCCATATGCTTTAAACTGTAGCTAAAACATTATAGTATTAACAATTTGTTCTATCAGAGTGATAAATTCGTGTAATCTTCTCTATTGTTTGATCTTAATGCTATTATAGAGACTGCATACATTTGATAGGTGTATGCATGCAGCAGAGTATTTAATTTTGGTACCATTCTTCCATAAATCAGTGAAATGTCATGATATGAAAATGGCATAGTTAATTGTAATACTGTACTATGCTTTACGCTTTGTTGTTCGGTATTTTTATTGAACATGAATGAATAGCGTAATCCAAAATCCTGTTAGGTATCGTCACGAAGTAATAACATTACCTTCTTTACGGTTTATGTAAATAACGATTATTTTCTCTCTGCCAATGATGCAGTTGCAAATGTAATGACAAGATATTAGATTAGAACTTTAATATGTTAAAGTAAACAATTTTTGTAGCTCGAATTTAAAGTATTTTTTCTGTAATTTATAAAAGCAATTGCTATTAGATCAAACTGTGGAAAAAATCTCCTTTTGTACTCCGGACCCCAAGGATGATCGTCTTTTTTCATATATTTGCCGTGATGGCACATCAATGAAATGGTTATGTCATTCCTTTCTCACTGATAAAGCCTCTGTGAGTTTATTATGGATAGACAATATTGAACGTAATAACATCATAATTAGATAGAACGGGTATAGAGGCATAATGACTTGTTACTGATAACTGTTGATAGTATTGTCGTAAGTTACCATAGCAATGTCAAATTAAAGCTCCTTCTTTGAATATATAATTTATAGTTCTTACGTGATGATAATTAAAACAATCACTGTCGACAGGGAGAAAGAATTAGTAATGCTTTAGGCTCTGCATTTTCCGAATCTTATTTACGTAAAGAGGATTTAAGAAAAAAAGAAGTTGCTAACGAAGTATGTTCAGTAAGCCTTCTTTTATTCGATTTTATCTTCATATTCTTTAAAACAATGTGCCTTATATATATATATATATGATTAATTGATTAATATACTAACCCTTTTAGGATAAGAATTTCCAAAGAAGTATATCACTTCGTGTTCCTAAGAAAGAAAGACCGGATTTCGACACTAGTCGAAAAACTGGTGGGTAACTAATGTATTTAAATCACTGATATCTTGATGAGGCTCGTAGTATTTATGGTCTTTTAGTCGTTAATAGTTCTTATTTCATGAGTTAATTATTATATGTCATATACTCAATAGAGGAAACGAAAGTTAATGCTGTAAAGAAAGGCTACGACAACTCGATGGCAATTCCTAGACAACCTTCATTGCGATTAAAAAAAGATATGCCCATACCTAATCCATTAACTTGGGAGGCGCAGAAAAGCTCTAGCAAAACTGTAAATGGTACCGGAGATGTTGTAATCGAAAAGAATACTGAATCGGCGGCGTCATCGAAGGTTTGTTCTAATAAAGACGATAAATACGAATTAATTTTATGAAGTGACCGTTTTATTTATACTAATTTGGTATCCTAAATATTAAATAAGAGATAGATTTTATAATAGTTTTTTAAATTTCTTATTATTAATGATAGTTGGTCGCATCTACTATCGCTTACGAAAAGCATCCCGCACAATCGCCATTGAATGCGTCTCCATTTGTCATGCCTAATAACCGGGTAAACTTTTTATTCTTGCTTACATTTTTTCTGAAATCATTTTATTTCAAGTACTAATTCGATGATAATTATTAATTGAACTTAGAATGCCAATGGCCACCAAACAAATGGCAATTTAAATAGTAATGGCTTAATTAGTGATTCCGTTACGAGTGGAAATGACACCGGCAATCTGTCAGACGTGCATAAAAAAGATCTTGACATTATAAAAAAAAGACATAACCACGAATTAAATGCAATTATAGTTAGACGAAAATTTTTAGAAGAGGAACTAAAAAAGTTATCTCAAGCAGAACAGATTCTTTTACAAAAGCATTCTAATGAATTGCAGGAGTTGTTAATGTCATACAAGAAAAAAATTGAAAGTAATAGGGATTCACAGTCTTTAGAAAATGAATGGATGGAAATCGCTAACAGACATGGAGAGTACGCACCTACAAGTGATGTTTAATATGAATAACGATGATGCGAAACTATTATGGTTTAGAAGTTTGTGTTGTTTGTCAATATTTTATTGTTACTAGTTTACGTTCGTTGGTATTTGATGACATACATTTAAAGAGCACGAGTTATTGGTAGACCTACAATCATAATTTGGCTGCGATATGACATAGATATTTTACGTTATACTCGGTACATTTTGCCTTATATCAAATAGGAACTACCAAAAATTGTCGCGTATATTTTATGTTGCGATCACAGCCATTGATCATGTGACACAGATAATTAATAAATATATATATATGTTAACGTACTATTGTAAATAGGACACTAGTAAGCCAAAATTGCTATTGCTAAAGTACTTTATTGATGATTACTTTGCAATATAAGTCGTTATAAATTTTTATTTTAAAAAATATTCACTGTAATGTATACGCCGCGAATTTACTGAAAAATAATGACACTCTCGAAGGTCTGGTTACGCTTTGACATTGCGTATTTCGATTTATGAATCATAAGATTATGAAATTTTTGAATTAAGATATGTTTGTAAGAAGCAAAAGCATAAATAAGTATTCAGCCTGCAATGAAATGCGTAGTGCGATTTATCGTAGACTTTACGTCATTATCTTAGCCGTCAAACTTACCTATCGGTTTACCAGCTTAAATATAAGTATCAGCATTATTTCGTCAATGGTACTGCTTATTAGTTAGCATTTTGATAAAGCTATAACTTTTTATTACATTAAGATTTTAGTATAAAGTCCTTAACAGATATAAATGCATTGAAAGATCGTTCTTAACAAATTAGACGACATAAATAAAAACCGTTCTGTTCGAAAATGTGCCAATATAAATATATATAGTGTTTTAAGATTATCGTTTACATAATTCTATAATAATATGTTACCAGAAGATAGAATCAGAATTTTTGTGGAGCCAAAGATGTAAAATATCATATTTTATCGTTAAAAAAAGGCAAGAGTAGAATTGCTTTCGCAATCACAATACGTACAATTTCTAAGTGAAATTTGCGTCATAACTGAGAATATGCAAGTTTCAGGTTAAAGGCTACTCTGAAATAGGACACCGCTAATACTAATAAATAGAAACGACTCAATTTCACTTAACTGATTATTAATTACAATTAAAAAATTAATCCTTCACATTAGCATATGAATTAGTTGGCGATATTGGTTGTTTCTTTTGATATTATATATCTTCATAGCTTCCCGTATAAATACATTCGTACGCCCATGATAAATTTATCGCCTCAATAGCAAGTGAATCATCGCATTATGAAATAAACGTTCTTTTTACTAATCGTCCACATGATATATTCTCTTAAACTAATAACTCTTAACTAGAAATAACATCGACGATATCACTGCAGGCTATCATCGACGAATTAGTGCTCCAGTCGTAGTTATGACTTTCTATTGCAAGCAAGATACCAAATTGAATCTGTCAATTAAGAATAGAAAACAATGAATCAGCAACATCTATCTATTATATGTTTTATTTTAATCCTCTCGGCAAAGGTTTATAATAATATAGTCAGTAAATTCATTTTACATAATAAATACCTTTTTGCCACGAAGTTTCATCAACGCTTTCAGTGGATCCTTATTAATAGTTTTAGTAGCAGGGTCGATACATATAATATGACACCTGGTGCATGGGCCAGTAATAGTAAATCGGCAATGGCCAATCTTTATATATTTCCAGCAATCTTCAGCGAAAGGCTGTCCTCCTTGGATGATTAAATTAGCTCTGAAACGATCGCACAAGCTATCAACGGTAGCAATAGTGGAAACAGGTGACTTTTCAAAGGCATTCATTTTTAATATTGTCTTATATAATATAGTAGCACTAGTTGAAGATATTAGCAATATTTGAGCAGTATTTGCAAGGGATAGAATAGGCTGTCGTTCATCATTTGAAGTTCTCGATTTTGTTGAACGCTTACTGTTATCATGTTGCATAATCAGTCGAACTGTTCTTTGCAGTACTTTGCTGAGCCACAACGAGGCTTCATCTCCGCAATCAATACCATTTACTTTATCACCGCAAACTCTAGATTGACAAACGGAGGCACTAATAGCAAATTGATCAGGCATATCATAACTTAACGGTAATAGTAACGATTGCACGCCTTCGCAATCTAATATTAGTAACTTGTCTTCTAAGTTTATTTTTGGTCTAATATTATACATCTTAGGTTCTTGCTTCAAGTTTAAGCAAACACCAGATTCATTGACTATCATCCAACTGCGATCATATAACAGACCCCTAGGTCCTATAGGCCAACTATCGACTTCGAAGCCGTTACAGGACTTGACAGGATACAAAACAATTCTTTGTAATTTAGGAATCGAAGGCTTTAACACATTGAAGTGGATCTCCTTGGAATCAATTTCAATGTTATCTTCTTTACTTTCACTTTCAACAAGGAATTCAACAAAGCATTCTTCCAAAAACTTTATGAATCGATCTGAATCTTCAAAACTTGACAAATATCCAATTGAAATTCGGATTGAGCCTGTGGGTTTACCATCTATTAAATCGATATCATCACCACAAATATGCCCAGACTTGAGTAAATATGAAAAGTATGTATGCATAAAGTTAAATCAAAGTTACATCTTCAAATGGTTATAATTCTATTGGCCATATGTAAAGATTCTTTCTAAAGTAAATTACCTGAAAATTGTGTAACAGGCCTGCTGATGATAATCCCAAAGACTTTTGACATTGTCCTAAATTACAAAAGCATCCGGTCCGCAATTCAATTTTATACATTTCTGCCAATTTAGAAACCTAAAATTGATGATGTGAAAGTCGATAGGTAGGATAATAACATTAGAAATTTCTTATGTATTTTAACTATTTCTATAGTACTGTGCATGATTAGTAGTAAATAGGAAACGGAATAGTTACCTGGCTATAACCAATAAAATTTCCTTTCGAATCAAGTAAATTAAAATTAATGACTGGACCTTGATGAGTCGAATTGGAGTAATCACTTTCACCATAGATATGACAAAGCGGTTCACAGTTATAGTGGCACAATTTTAACATATTTTGGTAAGTATAACGAGTAATAGAAAATGTATGGTTGCAAACGGCGTCCATATCCCTAGCTATACCGCATAAGCAATCAAATCCATATTTCAAAGCAATAATATCTAGAAATGCAACAGTCCCGTCTTCATACCTGCCGCAAAAAAAAGAATTCAATATGCACGTTTATAATTATAAGCTGTATTAGCGAATTCTTTATGTTCTATCTCCAAGCTAAGTTAAAATTGAGATAATTGCATGTTAAATACCTATCATGAGGTACTGTCTTAAATGATACAAAATCATCATGATAAAGGCATGTCTGGATGGTTCCACCGCCAAAATATTGCTTTCTTAAAACATTTATTGCGTTGTTACGAACAATTAAAGCTCCTAAGCCAGTAGGAAAGCCAAATAATTTGTAAAAAGAAATTGGCACAAAATCTGGTTTATATCGACCCAAATCCAAGGGAGAGGTTGAAATATAAGAAGCGGCATCCAGTAAGACATACCAACGATCTTTTTCACGAATTTTAACACAATTCGGTACTAACTGAGTACGTTGAATTCTGTCAATCCATTGTAAAGGATATTTCCTACCGGAAAAATTACTTTGAGCTGGGTAAGCGAAAAGATGATTGATGGTACAATTGGTGGTATCGCCATTATCAATCTCGATATTATGAACTTGATGTTGGCCGCTTTGGCTATTGCTATTCAGTTTGGTACTGATAATTTTACTACCAGTACTATCTGCTGTTTCTACTGCTTCTATGTCAACACAAGTTATCATTCCAACATGACGAGAGACTGCTTGTCGAATTCCGATAACAGACGTATGATTGTCTTCCAAGTAGCAAAAGCATGGTTGGATATTTTCTGCATGATCACCTTCAAGCCTATTGCCGTTTACCATTGAATCGCTGTTGTCATAGGGGGCATGCCATTGGAAGCTATCATGAATTATTTTTAAGGCATCGGTAGCACCAGAGGTAAAGATGACTCTATAATCGTCACTATTGGTATTGAAGTGATCTAAAATTCGATCTCTCATTTGATCAATCATTTGCAAAGTCTGTTTACTACTAGCATTTCTGCTATGTGGGTTAGCAAAGAGCTGTCCTTTCAACTCCTGTAAATAATTTTCTAACTGTGATTCGCAGTACAAAGCAGAGCCAATATTATCAAGGTAGGTAACACCTGTTTTTAAAGATAATAAAGTGGTCGATTGTCAGATATACAGTATAACAAATCATTTTCAAATTTCAAGTTAAAGCAATATTCAGCATTATTTTTCTGTGTTGGGTAACTGTATTGCAAAGTTATCAATTATTAGATTTCGATTTTAAGGCAGCTTTATCATATGTTAATATCATTAGCGAGTTTTTTAAGCCTATTTAATGATGAATGATCATGATCATTTCCGAGCAATAGTTGAATCTCAGATTTAGCAGTAATTACCAGTCTACGATATTTGAAGAAAAAGAGGAGTAGACTGGTATTGACCGAATTTGTTAGCGGTGCATTTCCATGATCATTTTATGATATTGCATCAATCAATACGAAGAGAGCATAGTCATGGAGACAGTAGATACTTGGTAATATCCTAACCAGTTTATTGTTGTTTCCCTGTTATTCGTGTGAATCAATTGGATAAGAGTCCATCACCTTCAAATTGATCAACACGAGCTATCAGACTTGCTATGGTTGGTCAAGCATATCTAATGACGACTAGAAGGATGGCCTAGCAAGAATCATTCATTTACTGTTGACTAAAAGTAATCCAATTTTATTGGCTTCATCTCCATTCGAATACAGTAATCATTCTTACTTGTATGAGTGACTCTTGACTGTAGGCAAGAATCATTCACCCATTATGGACTAATAGTGATGCAATCTTCTTCTTAGTTTCATCTCTATTAGAATACAGTCATTATTAGGGATGTTGGTAAATTTCCCGTTCAAATGAACGGGAACATATTCTGCACAAAGCAATCCATAAAAAGAAAATTTACAGCTAGATTATCTTACAATACATGTACCGACTAAAACTAATCCAATTCTATTCGTTTGATCTCCATTGCATTACGGTCATTACCATTAGGTATATTATCATTCATTCACTATCGACTAAAAGTAAAATCCATTTGATTAATTACATTCCATTGAGTAATTGTCATTCTACTCGTAATCAAGGGCAAATAAGCGATTTGGACTTGTATTGATCAATATTGGCAAACTCTTGCTTGCATTCTACAGTATACGAGTATTATGCCTCCAAATATTTCTTCGATCATAGTTATTAGCAACTTATTACCATTTAAACGTTTTAATTCTCGCTTTCTAACTTCGTCCACGTTAATACGGTAGAACTCTCCCTCTTCCATCATTGCTGTCCAGTCTTGATTCTTGCTTCATGAGCATTGGACGGCGTAGACATGGAGATGGCGTTTGATACTGGTACTGACCGTGTCGTCTCCAGACCCAACGAAGTGTCCTGGCCCCAATGTAGTACTACCGTATCGTACCGTAACGGCCATCAACAGTAATATTACCTACTGATACAGTAGCGGTAGAGCAGTCAAAAGAGTTGAAGGCAAGTACTGCTACGGCCATGCTCAATGCAAGATAGATTTTCATGGCGATTTTGCAATGTTCTTCTACTTCCAACCTTCTTCGAATGCAACTTCTAATGTGTAGCTCGGATCAAGATATATCCATATTGATCTTGTAGCTCAATATGAAACGAGGATATAGCTCGTTCTTACCCATGAGCTGTATTCAAGACTGTACATCATGCTTATTTTGATACCCCAGCGGTATTTGCTGATCGAGAAGAGTTTAGCTAGTGTTCCACTTGGCCTTACTGGAATAAACTCCCTCTGAGATTTTCTCCTCCCAATATTGCCTCTGTCTACTAAAATAGTCGGTGACTTCTCGGAGAAACTATCACTTTCTGTGACAATGTTCACTAGCTTCTGGGGAAAAAAAAATATGAGAAGATTCAGCGACTTTTCGAAAAATAATTGCCTCGCTCGATGACAATACTTTGCGGCTATTTTCGACCGATTGAATTAGTAGTTTAAAGAACTTCTGGAAAAAAAAAAAATTTCCTTCTTTCTACGAATTCATAAAGTAGTAGGAAGGGGGTCAATTTTTTCCTCTAAAATCTCTGTTCTAGTACTCACTCCTAGTGACTTCTATCAATAATAACGACGATAAACAAAAAAATCAGCAGGCTACGCCATCGCAAGATGCTCTTCTACTGTCAGATACTCTAACAAAATGGATTCGTTAGTAAAAATTGACTTGCTTGCTTAATTGGATTTTTGATTAATTTTACGATCAATAAAATATGAATCATAAGCGTGTGCGTAGAAAAAACTAGTTTAATCGAAGATTTGTATTAAACTGTAAAATTGAAGATGCCATGATTGACATTAGCATTCTCCCGAAATCGAACACCGGATATTATTGCACGCGTACGAGCATGCAGTAAATAAACAGCCAGGTCTCTGCGGCGGAAATCGCGCAAGGTTGGCCAATACCCCATGCGGGTCGATGAAATGACTTTAGCGCTTCCTGCAACTATTTTATACATGAACCCTAACCCTAACCCTAACCCTAACCCTAACTCTAAACTCTTAGTTTATTTTGTAGGATCAAGCCCACTGTGGTGTTGGTAATGATCCAATAAAAAGAGAGTCGATTCCCAATTTAGCACATTAACATTTCAATTTACGAATATTGTCATCTAGCACGCGATACAATCAACTAGAACTACTCAACATTTACATACGATTGCTCATCAACAATTGTGATCTCTAGATGTCATAGACTACCGTACTTTAAAGTTGATAACTGTTGCAGTGTACAATTCGTTATCTATTCTCGGTGGCAAGAAAAAAAATTGAAAGAGGAATCACGCACGGTGTTGGGCGGAAAGGAATCCTATGGCTCGAATACAGTACGTAGGTCGTATGCATGTCTAGGAGCAAGCCAGCTTACCAGCTAATTTTGGCACCTATAGATTTATTCTTCTGAAGCCGATTTCTGTTAGTCATTCATTTCTTCTCATTATTAAAGCACATAGAGCAATAGCCTAACTGAGATTGCTTTAAATTGACTACGATAGGATACAGTATTTTACAATGCAGGTAAGCAAGATCTATATTCCCTTGCTATTATACCCTCATTAAATTAGAATTATATTATAACGCATGGTTACGTATTCCAATTTGTAAAGACAATAATATCATGGAGCTAATAACTCTTAATTCGAGCAATAATAATGACGCCATTAATTGTAGTATAGTAGTTAACAGTCAGGTCAATAACGCCATCACTACAGTAGTGCTTTTACCAGCCATCCTGGTCACTATTTTGTGTGTAGTCGATTCATTGCATCAGGAAGAGAATCATTAGCCGAGCCCTAATTTGGTATATTATTATCAAATAGTGGTTAATGCATTGTCGATTGCATTCTTAACTGTAATCCTACTAGAGATTTGAATTGATTTGGCGCCAAATATGAATCGGCGTAAAAAGTCGTTGATTAATTATAAAAATTATCGTATACCATATATATTACTACCAAAAGCCACACATTTTATTTTACTATAGGTAGGAGAACGTACGGTTGTAAATCAAAATATAACTTCGTGTCGATACTTTTATATATATATTATATATACGAGTATATATATACAAATAATTGTAGTAAATATTTCTACACAGTATGTAGAGAATGATCTGTTATGTATTGGTAGTAAGCACCGGCTGAAATGGTAAACATGTTTTTACTGAATTAATACTCCTCAATCTTCATTTTTACCGTAACTATACCTACAAGTCTATTACTATACTATCCTATAAAATGGCGCCCTCCATTCCATTCGAATTGAACTATTCCCACATTCAAAAATGATTTTGCATTCATATTCCAAACCATAAATTTTATTGACATAGATAATTTAATTTAAAGTCGTCAACATGCACAAATTCCATAATACAAGTATAGAATAAAATTTTTGCAGTATACATTTACTACAATTTGTAATAGTAGACCGGCTTAGTAATAATAAAATATCATTGCAATTTTAATTCCATTGTAAATAAACCAGCACGCATATTATTACGTAAATGATAGCAATATATTGCTTAAAAAGGAGAAATGACGTCGTATATGAATTTTAACATAAACAAATTATCAATTTATTTATTATGCACCTTGAATACTGTACAACTACTATTGAAATCATTCATGATATCTGATAAATAAAAAATAAATTATCTACAATTATTACTGTACATCAGTTTTATAATAAGCGCTATCACTACGGATAGCATGTAAAGAATTGCACACTAGAAGAATGCCTCTTGTTTTTAGCTTTAAAATATCTTACACTGTATTGTCAAAAGACTATATTAACAGATATTAGAGATAGGAGAGAATAATAAACATACTCTTATATAAAGAGTTATTAGAATAAGTGTTCTATTCACCTAGAGTAGTATTTTAATAATGCTACGTTGATGAAATACAATCTGATCAAAACTGAATTCAACAAGAAAACAGAGATCTTATTATCAATTACTGTAACTTGCAAATGATAAGAAAACTCATATAGATTTCTGATTCTATCCCTATCGAGATTAAATGCTACACCAATGACAGTGCATTGATATTGGTTACTAGCAATATACTGCACAACTTGATTCTTTTTCTTCCAAATTCTTATATTGGTAATGATTCAACTTCATTTTCGTCCAAGTAGGAATCGCAAATAGACTTTAGCATCAATTGTTGATAATAACTGCCACTAGATTTCAAATTAAACAGAGAAGACATAATTCAATCAATGGTAGGCTTACATTTTAGTGGTAATGTTGCTTCAATAAAGCTAAGCAAATAGATGAAATAATCTCTTATTTGTTATATCTGTTATAAGATAAAATAAAATACCAAAGCTAACATTTTATATATACAGTATAGAGACTCACCATTTAATAACATCTCGGCATTTTTGCTTGGACGATACTGTTAGCGCGCTGCGATTATCGTTTGAACAGAAAAGTGCTCCATCGCATATAAAGTCAATAATTTTGCTTTCACAGGTATTGCCGGGTTGTGATGATGGAATAATATATTTAAGAAGATGAAATATAGTTTGTGCCGAGTTATCTGCCATTTGGAGTGAACTTTCAAACCAGGAAGGAATCGATCTGCCATAATTGACTGTAGTACATGTCCCGATGTTTGTCCTTTTTGGAAGAGTGCAAGAATGGAGACTGTGGCGGCCTTGCTTGAGTTGTTGACAAAATTGATCTGATCTATCTTGATAGACTGGTCCACCACATTCATTTAAGACATTAACGCATGTAGGTTCGGATACAAAGTATTCAACAGTCTGACTAGCTGCATCGCACTTTGGAAAATAGGCATGGCATAGCAATTCCAAGATATGAGCGTTACAGTAAGACAACGAATCAAAGCTCTCAAATTCATTCATGTTGAGATGAGCAGTGATTTTGTTGATAAAGTAGCGGTTGTATTTGTAGACCAAGGTAGGAATTGGATGCGTAATTTTACAAATTCGTTGGACATCTACGGGTGGCATAGAGCAGGAATCCAATCTAGAAAACGTAAATGCTATGGCTGAATTGTTCTTCGAAGATTTTGGCATAGCCGATATGGTCTAATGTTAGAGATAGGAGAAACCGGAAAGAGTCAATGTTAGTTACAGTAATAAATCAAAGAAAGCAAAGCTATTTTGAAATTGATTTCGCTTAAGAGACTTAATGGTAGGCTTTTTTGCTTACCGTTTCTTTCGTTTCATTTTGTTCCCGAGCTTCATGAGGTGAGTAGTCTTGAGCAGCTCTTTTACTCGTTGCTTTACCCGTAGCTCGCTCTGGGTTTGCATCATTCTTGTATAGCGGTATAGCCAATACTGATGCTATCAAAAGGCTTGTTAGGTACAGGAATAAAAGTTTGTTGATAGTTAGCATGATGATGATATTGATTAAAATATTAAAAGGGTAGAGGATATGAATAAGAAAATGTTTAGAGATTATTAGCTAAACGAATCCGATCGAATTTACGGAGTTATCTATCTTTTGATCTACTTTTTACTTCTTTTATAGCATTGACCAAATGATGAATTGTTGGTATAGGCCATTTCTCGTAATTTTTATAAAAACAAACATTGATCAGATTTTTTGGAAAAATTACCTGTGGTGATTTGAAAAAATGAAACATTAACATTTTAAAGTTGTGTCTACATTAGCAGGCGTAACCTGACTAATAATTAGAAACTGAACAAGCTGTAAGTAATTTGTGTCTAATGCTGAGGCATTTTAAGATATTGTCGTTACATTTTTGTACATTAAATTGCTATCATACATTAAAAAAATAGACACTATCAGGATTGGATGATAATTTTCCGTTGCATAAAATAATACAAGTTATTATATCTATAAATGGTAGAGTATTAAATTAGTTTATTCTCTACTGCATTTACGAAAATTTGACGCGCATATTGTAGTATGCCTGACAAACATTAACGTAATGTCTAAACATCCAAGTTTATCACAGGAAACAGCAACTAACTCTAAATATAGATCATATCTTGGAATGTGGGATCGTCTTCAATTTATCAATCGGTCAAGTCTGGTCAACTTTTTTTCACAAACTGTCCATTCAATAAAGGCTACAATTTAAATCTAGGCTGCACCTTGATTAATTTGCAAAACAATGATTTACGTGTTATGATAGAATGGAATAGCTTATGACAGATTGACACTCCTTACAAATGGAGGTACGGCAGTAAATTAATCGATGATGTAGGCAACAATTATTATAATAAATTGAATATAATAATTGGCATGTGCTTTAAAATTGCACAAAATTATTCCTACGAAATCGTATGATACCCCTACGTCAGCAGTGCACAACCTTATATTTTTGGGTTATCTATACAGGATATTTAAGATTGTTATAGGTATCTAGTAGTCAATGTTGACTTATGCAAATAGAGAAACACAGCACAGCTTTGTATATACATCAGAATGCGTGTTGTATGCATCGGAATGTCAATTACCCAGTAGGATACCATATAGGTCAACAGTAAAGTTGGCCGTCATTGTTACCTACACCGCTCTTACCTTAAAAGACACCCCCGTTTTCATCGTAAAATTTTTTTATACATCTCTATTAGTTATATATTATATAAGATAAGATTACTACTAGATATTTACAATAATGTAAAAATATACGTACGTTCCAGAGTGTTGATCTATTTTACTATGCGTATTTCGCCGTATTTTAAGCCTGTGTGCAAGCTTTAACATGTCATCACAGTCACAAGATCGTTGGCTCTTGAATATGTTTTATAATGAGCAAAATTATTTGTTATAAAGTCAGTTAATATGATATAAACGTGTATCTATTTTGTTCTTGAACGATATTGTTCGTTAATAATTTACTTATTGTAATTCGAAGTGTTACAGTAAAATATTCCTACTCATAAATTAAGAATTTGGGCTTTAAAGGGAAATTGCCGTTTTGATTTATAATTATCGCCATTAACCGTAATGTGCAATCTGCTATCGATCATGACGAGATAATATGTCAACCTATGCAAGTATATCTTTACAGCTATAATAACATCTGATAAAGTGCCTTCTCAAAAATAAAACCAGAATTACAGTTTCTTGTAAACTTTACTTTATTACACAAGTTATGGCTCACCAAACTACTACCAAGGGCTGTCTCTAGACTGTCTATCTTTGGACCACTATACAATCTTTCAATCTCATATACCATTTATCTGTTTTCTTATAATCTAACAATCTTAGTCTTAGATATATTTGGGGCCGTACTACATAGTGAAGACAAAATAGAGGCGGGTACGTCTAAGGAAGTAAATCAGGTATCTCCGCCGCACAAATCGCATAATTTTGTACCTGTTATAAGCTTATAAAACCGCATGAGGTCCAGATCAGTGCATTTCGGTGCAAAGGTTAAGCTATGTAGGGAGTCAACAATCAATAAACTCTTCAGACTCAACAAATCTTATGATGAATTATGTTTAATGTTAAGAGTTGTGCTAGTTACGAGAAATATTGGATACCTTTATTATTATTACTAATTCATTCATTACTAACTCAATTATAATACGTATAAGAAGCATATAACTAATTCGAGTCAAGCTAAGATTCGCTTAGAGATCAGTTATTGAAAAGTCCCTATACTAGATGTAAGAAATCAGTAAGAAACTCGTAAGCAAACAGCGGAACCGATTAATCGTTTTAAATAAAATCTTTATTCGCTTCCCATCTTCATAATAATATTGCACTTATTTTTCTATTACAAATAGTACTCTGAATCAATTTACTACGTTCATAAAACCTCATAAGTTGTAATATTGAGCCATCATAGTGTTATGACGTCCTGCACGCACCTATGCTCTGATTAGCCTTATAACATAGTAAATGATAACTGCTTATTTTATGCCAGCTATCTACTGGCATGAAATTGTCAACTAGACATGGATAGACAGTATTTATCTAAGGATTCATGAGCCATCAGAAGCACACATTGCCTTATGTTTAATCTTAAATTAATAATACTGTACACGTCTTTCATGGGTTATCGATTCTATTTTTTAACTTCATTGCAAATTGTAAATACTACAGGTTCGATATTGGCACTTTGCTAACATACACAATAGCTGAAGTTACCATTTTCTCCATAGTCCAGCACTATTTATAAAATGCAAGATAAAACGCTGAGGCCAATTAATTTAGGATTATATAACGACACTTGCTAAATTAACAAAATTTTCCAGGAATTTTGGAGTAGCTAAATAAATTCATAAATTGAACCTTATAAGAGAACTTGTTATCTTTAGCTTTGATACTTGGATTTATCGTAATTTACGAGTATACAATCGAAGACGTTACTCGTTTCATCAGTGTTTAGTAGAGGATTCATTAATTGGCGAAATGTGTGTAGATCACACCCAATAAAATTATATTTAGTACTTCAGTATTTTGAATTCTCATTGTATTGCCGTAATGTATTGTAGCCTAAGGCATGTTTGGTAGCGTATTGATGCGAAGACTTTCGTCGACGATAATATATACGTAGCAATCCGGTCTTGATACCATAAAGAAGTGCTTGATTAAGAGTGAGGTTAAGATGATTTCTTGATAAAATAGTAACGCATTTAAAGTAATATCATATATTGCTGAATGATCACTATTTCAGAAATTATAACTACTAGCCGTAGTTTCACCATCCAGCAATTTAGTATTTGCCGGATTTGTTAGATTCACTACCTTTGAAAGGTTAATTTTTTTGCGGCATGACAAGAAAAAGAATTGTTGGCATTTTGATGAACATGTTTAGATACTTGTACTTTTAACGGTGCTTCCCGACGAATTATATTTCAATAGAGCATAAGAAAAAAATATTAACTGACTTGATTTAGTATGCGCTATAATGTTTTCATACTACATTTCAGAATACCTACTGTTTGCGGATCCAGTTGGTATTAACCAATTTATTTATAATAAAGTGTATTGCTAGCTAAACCTAGAGAAGGGAGTGGACCCTCTTCAACTAAAAAAATATTGTATTTTTTCAGCCTTTATAAATTTAATACAAACCACACTGACATGCGATAGTGATTAGATTTAAACCTCATTAAAACATAATTTGATACACAACAGGGTCCGTGCTCTAAATAAATCTTCAATAGAGAATTTTATTGAAGAAATATTAAATGGAATAATCTTATCGACCATTTATCACATAAAAGGTATAGCTTGACTAGTGAATCGTTAGCAATGATAACCAGAAAGCTAAAATCTTATCTTAACATAGCAATAATGATGGTATTGAAACAGCCGTTCATCTACAAGTAAAGGCAGCCTAGCTTGAAGCTGGCAATAAGTATTTCGAAAAATGGCAAAAGAAAAATATTATGTTGAAAGTATTAATTACTTTAATCACACTATTTTAACTAGTTAAAAAGAATAGCATGTGTAAGTATGAACTATAGATATAAAATTGTATAAGCTAAATCCATTGCTATGCTAGGAAATGCTCTAATTACGACATCGCTTCCAAACGAGCATTTTTTAGGGTTGGCCAAGGAAATTAGCGATATCTACGCGATCACAAGACGTTATTATTATAAGTTATAATAATAACAGGTATTTCCTAGTTAAGCCAGTACAAAATAAAACCTATTGCAGGTAGGTTGGACTGCATAGTAGCCGGAATAAATAACAGTAACCCGGTAGTTGAAATTAACATACGCCTTAAGTTAGCTGAAACTTTAAGCACGATGCAAGCTTACTAGCTACGAATCTAGGCCTGATAGTTATTATAAATAAACAAATATCTCGGCAATAAATAAATAACACCACGTTTTGGCTTCATTACTAGTTAAGGATTACTATAGAGAATTAACATCAGATAATAACTAGGTGGAATATAATCAAGCGATCTTATCACAAGTTTTCGTATAATAGCCCAATAATTCAAGCATAACACGTATACTTACGTCCAAGATTTTTTAGCAAAACAATTTACTTACTCCATACATACAAACATTCATGATGGAAAATAATATGATGGAGTTGATCAATACCAGAGTATTGCGTCATATATCTGTGCGTTAAGATACGAGTAATTATTTACTAATTGGTGCAGGATCTACAAAATATTAAGCAAGTGTTAAAAATATCTAATTTGGGTGCATGCGGAATATTTCATTCTTTCATTCTTTCTGTAAGCATAGTGTTATTGAGATAATGACTCATATACTGCACGTCTATCACAGTATTGAAAATTTATCCTACAAAATTGTAAATAAATGATATGCTAATCGCAAATGAGGTACTGCAAGGCATACATTGATTTGGTTTTCGCGTCATTATTTCTCCGCTCTCTGACGAGGAATATTATGCATCATACTATGTATATGTAACATATACCGATAATGATTTCGGATGGCTGCCACTGCATTGTATACTTTTACACATTGTACAGCGGGAATCATGTTGCTACATTCGTGCCATGTACGACAAGTTACTGATGAGTTATTTAATGTTTGATCAATTTGCTAAGCAACAATATTCTATTTCATAAAGTATCAGCAGACTGTGCATCATTTTAGAAATGAGCGTAGTTAATAATTAATTCTATCACTCTTTTATTCAGATACAAGTACACCCATCTATATCAAATGTTCCAATACCTTTTACACCATATTACCGCATCTATTTAGAAATACCATCAGTTTGCATTGTATAGCAAAGGTATAATTATTTTGGCCAGTGACTCAAAATTTTACACCCCTACCACTTGTACTTTTCCTTATAGCCTATATTTTGTCTTTATCTTAAACTTGACCAAACTATTCTATATTCTATATCCCTATTTTCTCACTTTGACTTTACCAATCAATATCTCTTAACAACTTTATTCTGGTCGTTAAATCCAACGTACATAAAGTAACGTTATATCGAATATTGAAGAGTGTAAATGCAGATGGTAAGCCACATATGCGTGCGGCGGCTAGATCAAATTTTCGTTGATACAGCCATACAGCAATTCTACTAATCGTTTCTAGGTAGTTGGGCCGCAGAATGTTCAATAACGAGCGAAGGAGTCTATAGTTTTGCTGATGATTGAAAAAAAACTATTATGTACAAGGCGTCCATAGTATGTCTGCATGTACTTCGTTTATTTTATTTTTATTTATTGTTATTACTTTTATTTTGTTTTGGTCAATACTTTTGTTCAATCGATAAACACCTTGACAATCTCTTATGCATGACCTGAATTCTTTTACAGCGATTTTGTTAATGCTATCATCATCGCCGGAAAGAGCGAGTAGATTGTGCCATTTTAACTATTAAATCACGCATTCCTCAATCTTTTGGACTAGACGCAGCAATTCTAGTCTCCAATGCAGTCTATGACTTACAGTCAGTCACGGCAGTATCATAGAAATGGAAATTGCCATTTTTTAATAGTATACTACGGGTAGCAATTTACATGTTTTCCACTGTATAATTTAGTGTAAAGCAGTAGGCAAGTTAGTTCAATGAGTTCTGCAGTCCTCACACTGTAGTACGGTGATGGCGAAGAACTAGAGCTATAAGTTTAAAATTAACATGCGTTATATCTTCAGTTATTTTTGTAATCAATACATTCATATATGTACGTGTACATTTATTTAGACATGATGGTATTTTTTTTTTTGCCAGGACGTTAATTATTTGGAGGTTAAAGAAAACCTCTAATCTTCCGTACAATCTATAGTATACGAGTACAGCCTGTTACTACAGTTGTAAGTCATAACATCGTATTTAATTGAATTAGTTATGATTACACCTAATCATACTTTGCATGATCGTTGTAATCGGATGCATTGAATGATATAAGCCGTTGGTGAAGACTTTCAATCCTCTATTTCAAGTACTGTAGTAAGCAATTAGTATTTACTGTCTGTACAGAACCATTGGTGTTTAACTGTACACGCATTATTATAGCAGTTTTAGATTAAGCTGTGCTAATATACAGTATACGATACGAGTCTAGGAAGACCTGTAGGTTATCCTCGTGTTGTAAACGTTTCAGAGGTCGCTGGAAGTAGAATAAAAGTTCACTTTTACATTTTGATAGCATGCTACGCTGATATATACTGTAGTCTATATGATACGAGTATGAGAAGACCTTCAAGGTTATCCTCGTATTGGAAACGTTTCTGAGGTTGCTTAAGCTAGAAAAGCTATCTGTAGTATATTGGACAATCGGAGCTACATCCTATTAACTAATCGCCTCGGTACAAGCTCAGAAAGATTACAATTATAATGGAATTATTGTCGTATGTCAAGGTTTTAGTCTCTATTTTATGCTGTTAGCAGTTGTTATTTATTGACTGTCAGTGCACAACCATCAAGCAAAAATCAAGCCTCAGCAATGGCCAAGTACTGTACAGTATAGTACAAGCGCGACTGTATCGACAGCAGGCTAACCCAGACTCCCGTTATACTCTATACGAGAGTCGTATAGCAGTGTACTATGCTGGATATCAAAATTACGGCCTATACTGTACTTGGCTTTGCCACTGCAAACTGCTCAATTGATTTTGTTTGGAGTCAACGACAGCAGGTAAGCGATTACTGCAACAAGATATTGAAACTGTCAAATGCCTAATGGTCTTGCTCCATCCTTTGGATTGTAATGATGGAAGTTTACTCATGGGTATGATAATAATTATATGAATTGGGTAGAGTGGAATGTAAGCTTATTTTCTGTGAATGTAATGTTGACGATGCAGCCTAGTAAGATGTACAGTGTTCATCATCTATTGCGGATTACTTTTAGTAAATGCTATCATTTGCCAACAGGGTGCTAACAGCTATGGTCAACTAGGCCTTGGCCATACCGATGATAAAATAACTCCTCAAAAAATGCCCAATCTAAATTTTAAGCCCAAGTGGATTGGTGGAGGAGGTGGACATAGTGTTTTCTTAGACGGTAAATTGGACATTAAAATAATACTTGATACAATTATGGTAGTATAAACTGATGTAGGCCTGGGCTGTCTTATAACCTTGCCAGTTGACTTAATTACAGTATCAACTCTACTCATGTCCCCAGACAAGGATTGTTGTATCCTTCTCGACCAAAGACGTCCATATTGTGCCTTTTAAAATGATACTAACCCTACTCCTTCATAAATCCGACATCCTAGTGATAATTATTGATCGGTAGAGAGGTAGACTTGATCCAATTCTTGTTAATGTCAATACATGCACAGTAGCGACTCTACTCATGTCCCCAGACAATGATTGTTTTATCCTTCTCGACCAAAGATGTCCATATTGTGTCATTAAAATGATACTAATCCTACTCCTTCATGAATCCAACGTCCTAGTGACAATTATTGATCGGTAGAGGTAGACTTGATCCAATTCTTGTTAGTATCAATGGATATACTGCCTTTACAAATGGTTTGGCGATATTTGGTGTAGGTAAAGTAGTACTTCCAGTATAAGAGTTTAAAGTATCCAATGTACAGCTCTCCAAGATGTGAATACTGTGATTCCACTTTTAGACTCATTTTTGTTTCTGCGAGCATGTGTAAGTTAGTGGTTACTAGATGACAGTTAGAGTAGTACTACGCACGTACTCAAAGTAAATGATTTATTTCTAATCAAGTGTATGTTGCAGAAACTGGCGAATTATATGCTTGTGGATGGAATAACAATGGTCAGTTAGGACTTGAACATCAGGATAACGTAACTCGATTACAAAAATTGTCTTTACCGATTCGAATGCAGAAGGTTGCGTGTGGATGGAATCATACAATTGCTTTATCTGGTAATCGCAACAGCATCGTTTTTATTGCACTATTGGAAACATAAATTGTATTGGATGATATAGATATTTCTATTTGTGCTACAGCCAAATTTACAGCTAGTAATATTAAAATTTATACCATCATATAAGTCATGTTGGTTGCCATAATGGCTGTGTACCCTGGTTATAGTAGTCTATGCTTATTTGCACAGTCTATATCGAGCATTCATTGCTACCGAAACAACAAGATATTCTTGTATGCTCGCCTTATAAATTCATAGTATGTTTGCTGCCATAGAGTTTTTATCAAATATTTTAACCACATAGACTGTAGCACTATTAAATTAATTAAAGCTATCTTTCGTGTCGTAATTTAGTTAGTAATCTTGAATCTAACGACGATATTACAGTATTATCTTATTGATACTATACGCGCATAGTGGAAGGAAAATTATATTCATGGGGTTCCAATGCTTTTGGGCAGCTTGGTCACAGCCCTTGCAGCCGAGGCAGTATCATCAACACTCCAACACTTATCGAGGTAGTATTATGAATCTACTTTATAGTCTGGTAACATGACAAGCATTCTTTACACCTTGATTAAGTTGTTAAGTATACATACAACTGAAAACATAATTAATAATTCTAGTAGTTTATTCTGTTAGTATTTATGAAATCTTCGTATCCACCGCAGGATATTAGCGATAGAGAATTTATTGATACGTGTGCAGGCCTAAGGCATACTCATGCAGTTGAAGGTTAGACAAAAATCTATTTATTATAATTTTATAATTATTACTTAAAAGCTTGATGAATTTATGACACTTATGTACACTGATAAACGACATTGACATACAGCTTGTGGTCAAACATGGTCATGGGGAGCTTGTAAAAAAGGGCAGTTAGGAATCGGAGAACGAATGGATATTGTAGAGAAGCCGGTGTTGAGTGAGTTACAACTACTAACAGACTATATCGATATGCGATTAAGCCAACTTTTTATATACAACATCGCCATTAAAATACAAGTATTACTCACGGCAGTAAAGTAGTAAAATTCAGTCCAACGATATTGATAGTAAGATGGTCTTTGTATTAATACCTCAAATTTTTTCCGACGGTAAATAGTTTCAACGCTTCGTGGCATCAGAGTTAAGAAAGTAGTCGCAGGTTCCTATCATTCCGCATGCTTAACAGGTTAGTTTTTTTCCCGGAAAGATAGTGTATCGTCGAAAACATATTAACTTTTCTTGACTATTGTTGTTTCTGTAACTAAACTGAACAAGAATGTGGAGAGGTCTTCTGTTGGGGAAGCAATCGATACGGTCAATGTACTTTAGCCGATAAAACAGAGTCTCTAATCCCTGTTAAGATTAGCTCTGAAAGTTGCGTCAATAAATGCTTTATAGATATTCATAGTGGTTGGAGTCATGTTGTCGCCGTTGTTGGTAAGTGGCTAAAATGTAACACATATTGATAGCAATCTCCATGATAGTTCAGTTCGAAAGGTAATGAATTTTTTAAAATGTTACAGAAGGAGGTATTGTCTACAGTTGGGGTCGATGCGACTACGGCCAATTAGGATATACTGAATTATCGGACGGTGACTCAAAACGATACCAACAAGAACCTGCTTGTGTTCCGAATTTACATGATTTAAGACAAATTGCATGTGGCTCTGAACATAACATCGTTATATCAGGTTTATAACTCGCAAAACAAAAATCATTATTTTCTTAAAGAAACATAAAAAAAGTTTATTTGAATTGCTAAAAAAATTTTCTAGACAAAGGCAAGTTGTTATCTTGGGGCTGGAATGAACACGGCATGTGTGGATCTGGAGGCGAGATAAATGTAAATAAACCAGCTTCGGTGGTAGGCGTGACAGACTACAACTATACTGCAATTTTAATAGGATGTGGCGCTGGACATACTTTTGCAGTGATAAATTGTTCATAGCTAATCGCTGCATGTCATTATTCTACAAGAAGAACTACATAGATACAACTACATAGCTGCACTCTTTTAATTACAATAATATTTATACATACTACAGTGGTATCATACATATATGTATATATATACAGTATATTTCTCACTATATATACATAAATATACGTATAGTCGGATTAATTCAAATTTTTGATATTCAGGACGTAAATTTCTCTATTAATTTAAACGCATAGAGTACCATTGGGTATTATATTCGAAAACGACATGTATAATAAAATTCAAAGATGTCATATCATGGACTCCTAATGGTAGCGTCGTAAAGTATCTCTGAACGCAATATCAATAGCAATTATAGTATAAATGCCATCGTGATATTCCATTAGATTGCCCTTAGATTTTACGCTTCACTCTATCTTCTACTGCTTCCGAAATCGATTTAAAGTTTTCTTTCTGAAGAATTTCTATTAAATTTTGTAGGTTAGCTTTACTACCGTCTCTTAACTTCCAAGTTTCGAGCACAGCACGAGCTCGAGAATTAGTATCGTCATAATCCTTTTCGATTCGTTTGATATCTTCATACCGCAGCCCAAATGCGTCAGCTAACGCTTTCCAATCCGTACTGATTAAATCAGCCACTAAAGGAAATACTGCTGATACTCCTGCAAAGTATAGTGTTTATTATATGGTTACTTACACTATGCATTACTGGCATGGAGTGTCAGCAATTTATTTGCAGAATAAATATTTTAGTAATAGTAACGCCCTACCAGAAACGGTTCGGATACTTTCTCGTCTAAAGACGGTATAGCCTTCTGTTGGATTCTACAAATTTCGCGATTACAGGTTAATGGCATAAATTATAAACATATGTAATAGATATCTTAGCGAAAGTTGTCCCTATACTGTAATAGTCAACATATCGATTATAGCAAACATTTAGCATATTACTTTTCCTGCCAGAAATATTAGCAGCCGTATTTACTGAAAAATTGAAGATACTTGACAATTATACTTAATACGTACCATAAGTAAAATAAAGTGGCCTTCACGGTCCGCTGGACTTTGCACTTCAGACTGAGGTGATTCGCTCTTATCTGGTATCTTAGTAATTGAAACCCTTCCAAATGGACCAGATCTACTACTGTCATCAATAAATTTACATAAAAATTCTACTTTTGTATTTCTTCCACGAAAATTAATAGTTTTTTCCAAACTATTATCAGCCCATGCATAATCCCCAGCCTCAAATTTACCAGTAATTTTAATTTTATATTGGCCTACGTTTAATAATAGTTCCTCGGATTGGCCAACAACAGAACTAAAACGTTCATATATTTGCATTTCTTCACCTTTAGGTGCAATGGTGACAATCAGAGCAAAGTTTCCTTCTTCATCTTCCGTATCGCCGATAAATGCATTACATTTAACATAAGTCATTTTACGTTCGTAATGGTTAGCAGGACCTAACTGAAATGCTGTCAGCATCGAATTTGTGACGAAATCATACAAAACCGTAATTAAGGAGAAGTGTTCAATTGAAAACGTTACATATAGCAAGCCGTCATCATCAGAGGAGATTTTATGAGTTATATGTAGTCTTTCCCAACAAGGCTCTTCATCCTCTGATGTACGACTAGTCCAAATAGATAGAGGAAATTTTTGGATAATCTCATTATCGTAACCACATCTGCTTGCAATATCTTCAAAATCAGGTAACGGAAGAGTCAACTCTACAGCATCAGTTTCTGAAGGTGCAAAACAGTAACCATTTGGTGTGAGAATAACGATTGGAGATGCTTGAGCTGGTAGATGAGGCTCTGTTACTTCAATGGCATAAGGCTGATCAATATATACGACTTTACACGCAACCTTGACGTTATCCGTTAATACGCATGATGGGACTCGTAATTGGACACCTGGTGCACTAGGTACTCCTATTATACCACCACTTTCAGCCAACATCTCTTGACAAACCATTGGATTAGGAATAATTGAAGCTTCTAGTATGTTTTAATAAGAAGCACCAACACATCAACTAGCAATAAGTAAGAAGGGAAATAGCTATAAGGACTTACCAAAAGGGTCACTAATTTCAATTATGGGATCAGGGGTTGAGCTAAATAATCGATCAATTAAACGAGCTATGAATTTAAAATAAAGAGATTCATTTTAATTCTTTAAGTAACGAAATCCTTGTAATTTCTTGAGTCAAATTTAGTTTTGTAGTAAGTTTGTAATTTAGTTACAGTATAAAAATGACGTATTATAGATATATTGAATGGGTGATTAGCAGAGACAGTTTTAAGTGTTTGAAATAGTTATAATTGTTTAACATAGATTATATAAACTAACAATGAAAGAGGTCTGTTATTCTTGATTCCGATAGACCATCTGGGGATTCATGTGAGGGTACAGCACGTTTAGTATTTTGGTTCTCTTTTGCCTATAGCCAAAAATCAGTATAGATGATATATATCAGAGTGTAATCAGCAAAAAATCGCAAACCATTAAATGACAAGGTTGTTGCAACAACGTTTATTGTAGCGCATTAGAATTTAGATTGATTTGGCTGCTGTCTTGTAATACAGTATAAATGCATCCCTTTGGGTACAAAAGGAAGCGAACGCAATTGATATAATTAATTACCGGATCAAATTCTTCTAGCATAATTTTCAATTGATCTCCAATTTGTTGGGCATTCTTTTCATAAACATTAAAGGGATTTGTAAGAGTCCTATGAAGTACTATAGTCAAGAGATGCTCCATTTTATAATTTCCTAACATCAAGATATTAACTCCTTCCAGAAAACGTTTCAAATCCTTAACGTATGTGACAGCCCAACGAGTTAAAATCCCATTCCATCCATAACTATGTAATGAATTACTATCATTATGGTTCTCTACTTCTCCGTAATGAATCGCAAAATTAAACAAGTCCTGGACTATTAATTTAATATCTAAAAATGATATTAAGGAAACAACTGATAAGTATACCTCCATAATGTTATTTTACTTCTAATCGATTTAGTAATCATTGCACTGTGTATATCATAAATTATAAATGTTTACGAGCTAGGCAAAGCGGCAGAGTAAACCCTTTAGTACTCAAACTTCGCACTAACCTATATATGAACCTGTCGTATTATCTAGTGTTTCCCGTAATCGACTGGCTATCGCAGAAATGTCTAAATATTAAATATAAGGAATGATATGCGTTACCAATCACTCTTTTAAGCATTCTATACATACAACTTACATTGTTCACCTACCGTTATTATATTCAGCTGCATTATTATCACTCATGGCTAATTCATTGCCGAAAAAAAAATAACGATACGAAGTACAAATAATGCATAATTAATACAACAAACATCACTATACATTATCCTTATAAAGCTACACTATGTACCTTACTATGATTATATGCAAGGAGTCTCACTCTCCGTAAAGTAATTGTAGAAAAGTTAGGTTACATCTAATAATTATAAATATATTTAACATTCCAAAAATTAGGCCATTCGATGATGTAGGCCTATGAGAAACATAAGCTGCATATTTTGATTTCCTATCATTGGTTACATTATCGCGCGATTTGCTATCTAATCAAATTGAGATCTATAATTTATAATCAAATAAGTGTGTGCTACCATAACTTGCCAAGACAAGATTTTATGCTATAATTGTATTTAAATGGAGCTTTTACTTAATGTAGAATACTATAGATAAATTTAGACCCCCAATTAGAACAAAAGACAGATACTAAACTCTGTACAGTAGCAGTAGTATATTCAATCATAATCACATAAAATTGGCAGTCTAATTTTATTTTTTTATATTATCGTCTAAGATTTAAATGATCAATCACTCTAGATAGCGTACCTTCGTAAGTGTGTAATTCCTTTTCTGTTACTTCCATTTCTTTCATCTGTTGATGCTTGTGTGGAAGTGAGGAAAACATACTAAAATGTACGATATGCTGATATTAATAGTAAATTTCAACAATAAGTACAGTACTTTTAATACAGGTTGTTCAAACATTCAATGTATCCATGAAGTGTCAGATTATACGATTCCATTACGATTTAATGAGTTGATCATTTAATACGGGACATGGTCTAGCATGATTATAAAGTTGTAGAAGAAAATAAAGCCTATTCCCTACACTGAAATCTTTCAATGTATTAGTAGTATCAGATTACTGTACATAATTGAATTGGGATGTGGATGAGCTTGTCATCTGATACTGGGGACAAGCTACATTCTAATTTCGATTTCTAGATGAAAATACTCTGCAATCTTTCAATGTATTCATGGCAGTATCCGATTACATAATTGAACTGGGATTTGGCAGAACTAGTTCTCTCCATACTAGATATGGGCATGCTAGACTGTATAGCATCATTATTCAATCTTTAGATTATTTAACTTGATTTATGTTTAGTTATCATGCAGAGCGATAACTTGCTGACTTAATCAACCAGCTAATCAGAATATTGTAAGCATGATTGTTCAGTCACAACTTTAATTAAAGCGTAGCTACAGTTGCTAACTGTCATTGAAGATAACCGTGTCCTAGCATACTGTTCTGAACGTCATTGCATGCTTAACGAATTTTTTCAACAGTACTAATCCGTGTTGTACTGGCCTTAGAGGTATGGCACTATCGATGCAACAACTCTGAATAAACATTTCAGAAAAATGCAAGTTACAGTACTTACTCAGCAGACGAGCTCATTGATTGAAGTTTTTCCCCAGCCACTTGAGAATGGTACACAATAGGTATCCTTACTTCAAAGTTAGCAATTGGACACGAGGCAATGGAGAAGGTTTTTATGACATTATTTCACCATTATCATTGCTGATACCCCTCAAGTTGCCCAAGTCGGGCTTGCTTGCTTCAATATGGCGAGTGCAATTTTTTACACTCTGACAATTTCTATGGCAACTGTTAATAGGTCGCCAAGAAATCAGCCCAATGTCCTTGAAGCAGGTTGAGATGCTTCAAGTACGTTCTATTCTATTGTATTATGTTGAATGACAGTACACTCCTCAGCCAACGACTTCCCAGGAGATCTCGAGGACGTCAAGGTGGACAGACAGTGGCCGTGTTAACAATTGAAACATGCTGGAATGAGAAACACTGAATGCAATGGAAGTGCTGTGGCATGCTAACAGTACCGTAATACCCTTTAACAACAACGACTGCATCACAAACAAAAAGTTATTTTTCTAGCGTAATTTTCAGTACAAACTGTATAGTATCCATATGCAATTTTAGGGAAGTCACGCATGACTTGCTGTACAACTGTATCATTTGCAATTACGAATACTGTATATTATACAGTAGATTACTATACGTGCAATGGTAGTATTTGTTCTTGGTAACTCTAAGTCTAACTCCTCGTCACTACGACTACAGTGTACACTGTACAGTGTACAGTACCTTACACTCTACCTTACTGTACACTGTACTGGACTGTACTGTACTGTAGTACAGTATGGTCCAAACGTCCAAACCATAGCCACTTCGTACGTAGTATACTATAGGTTTTCTGACAGTGCTGTACTTTACTATACAGCCACCATTTCTACCGGTAGAAATTGCGTGTAGTCCGTTAGTAGTGGATTTCCGGACTTGCATCTTTGGCGAAGGAGAGAGAACTCACTCTTTTCCCAATCACGCAATCTTCTTAAGTTAATCCCTACTTTAATAGCAACCATGTCTTATATGCTACCTCATCTGCATAATGGCTGGCAAGTAGATCAAGCCATTTTAGGCGAAGAAGATAGAGTTGTCATTATTCGCTTCGGCCATGATTGGGATCCCACTTGCATGCACATGGATGAAATACTCTTCAAAATTGCCGATCGTGTCCAAAAGTTTGCTGTCACTTATCTAGTGGATATTACTGCTGTACCAGATTTTAACAAGATGTATGAATTATACGACCCTTGTACTGTGATGTTCTTCTACCGAAACAAGCACATCATGATCGATTTAGGCACTGGAAATAACAATAAAATCAATTGGTCATTGCAAGACCCTCAAGAAATGATTGATATTGTTGAGACGGTGTATAGGGGTGCCAGGAAAGGTCGTGGTCTTGTAATCTCCCCTAAAGATTATTCAACGAAATACAGATATTGAATATGGATACGAAACTTTATCGACTGGAGCAACTGCCAATTACTCTTAGTCAATACAATTACCAATTTTGTAGTGAAATTGGTGTGGTAGCTGTCTGACCATGATTGCTATAACGTCCAAAATACTATTCATTAATGGACGGATTTCAACTACGGTACAATTTCAAACCTTTGAACCAATGCGTTACTTGATTGCATTTCTGTAGACGAATTCCTATAATGTTTATACATAAAACTTACGCACACATTGTAGCCTATCTAATATGGTATTTCAAAGTTTTGATCCTTTAAATAGCTGACCTACAATGATAATTGCGATATACCGGACATCCCATTTATTAATTATGAGTACAGTATTAATTTATGATTCAGAATTTCAAGCTAGCCTTGATTCAACATTAGTATGTTATGTATACAATACTCTTATCAAAAATACGTACATATACCTAATCATGATACGGTTATCCCAATGGCTGTGTTATTCATGACATAAACGTGATCTAGCCGTTAGTTACGATGCTTTATCGTGTATTATCTCGAGCGACATAGTAATTGTAATGAAGCAGCATGATATCAGACTACCGTATTTGTATAACGAAACTGTGAAATCTAATCGGAATAGATTTTAGATTAAAATCCAATGGATGTTGTAGTACGTTAATGTTGTATTATAATAACCTTATAATAAACTTAATATTAAATTATTTCTGCGACGGTATTGTGTACAAACCTTGTTTTTACTGCACATAACTTTGCTCAGAAATACCACACTATACTAATAACTTACGATAAAAGAACACATATTCTATATTGATTCTCCTGTTGCAAATTATGCGCCTTTCAATTTGAACAGACTAAGCTATTCTTAGCCTACCTTCCTTCAAAGATTGATCAGACAGCTATGATCATCATCCTATTCAACCATTTAATTAATCAGATACTGCTGCGTAAAGGCAAGATTCGAAATTTTTACTGCGTTTGCAGGTTTGATGTGGACGCGTAGAATCATTGCACGTATAGGTAAACGGTCTACTGTATATATAGCTTCATAGAAATATACATGTCTCGATATCAAATAACCAACTGAACTTATCCTCTTTTATTGCATTTGAATAACATTTATAAAACATACAGTGGAGAAAAATTAATTGTAATATATATTTTCATATATATCTGTCTTACTTGAAATAGTACTCATGTATACTGTATATGCATAAGACGCCTAATAATCTATCAGAATACATAAGAATGTATACGCTGATCGATCAAAGACGAAGTCCTATATAAGATCAGTTAATACTATAGGTCAATAAAATACTTCCTAGGTATGCACAGAAATTCATTAATAATCTGATACAGACTCAAAATGTTACAAAAATAGAAACACGTATGTTACAGCTATGTCTTTAGGACTTTGATTCTGCTACCTTCATAGATGCACTCCAACAGCAAAGTGCGCGGTGCTATACGAGACGTACGATTAATTTACTCGATTTTTCATATCTGCTCGACTAAAGAGTATACAGCGAATAAAGTTATTAATCAATAAGTACTTGACATCACATGAAATCTAAATTGTAAAATCTTTATTTTCATACCTGGTATTGAAGTGAAGGACAAGGTTTTGGACAGTCGTTAGAGTAGATTGGTCATTCTGACCGGTAATTAAATGCTTATCGACAACAACGTGAACACCAACACCGGCATTAGCTAAGACCGCATGAGTAGAGATGATAACAGTGATCAGAAATAGGAGTAGTACTATACTACAGCGTATACGCATAGTATCCTGAATACATATACGTATGTTATGTTTGGCCCGGATAAAATTAGCTTAGTAGTTCGTATTATACAGTACTATAATAGTATAATATATAATATCTCGAATTTGTACGCGTATTTTATGTTTGTTGGCACACTAAAGACTTTAGTCACAGACCTGTATAGCTTGCACCATGTTCTCGCAAAAAATCTTCCAAGATAATTGGCATCATAGCAAAATCCGACCTCGATACCATTTCACGAACTGGAGGCTAAAATAGATATTCACGTCTACAGCTTTAACTACATCTCTTATCGACATTTGCATATTTTTAAAATAAGAATACTACGGTACTGTCATAAGAATGAGGCATACCCTTGAAAATTAAAATTATGCTAAGGGATACTAAGTTATAAAATTACAGGTTACTTACTGGTAAATTTAGAAAAAGTTTTTAAGTCTCAGTCAACTGATACGATTCGCTTATGTAGCGTATTTACTGAAAATCTGTATACTTCGGTAATTTGTAATACTAAAGTCACAAGACTTACTGCAGTCAGAGAATATTCCCGTAACATCCATGTACGTCCATCCATACTCATGGCAGAACATAAGGCAGCAACTCCGAAGCCGATTGCACATATCGGCTCTAATACGTGTAGAAATGTAATAGACGTAGTTAGTATTTTAGTTAAATATTCGCACAAAATGTGAGTTTAGATAATGTAATCTAGTGCATGTAAATTGAATAAAAGAGCATAGCTGGATGAAGAACCTTACATTTCAAAAATATTCATGAAAGTTCAAACTATTCATTTGCAGGTATGTACATTGTACACTGTACAGTGTACAGTAGGCTAGCGAAACTTACTTTTATCAGCAATGAAAGAATTTAAAATGTTCCCCAGTTCACGATGTGTAGATAAGTCATAAACAGCTCCGGGAGAATTAGGAATTAGCAATACAGAATAATCGGCCGCTGTATATTCAAAATTAATTAATATTACATTAATTTATTAATAATAGAGATGTTAATTAGATGAATTTTCTTGACATTAATAGCCATATTTGGAATGGATAACAAAGTAAATGGACGCTCAGTGAGTGTTACAAGCTTGCTATGCTTGTTAGCAAACTGGAAAGTTGACAGAATAATTTCGCCTATGTACTTATTCGACTGTAAAGAGGCTCTATCAAATTAGGTTATCATTCATCGTGCTATGGCCTATGGATCATTATTAAGATAAGGTTGTAATAAACTTCAAAATCTACTAGCAGTTTGCATAGTCATTTCTATGGTATAACATAGTCTATCTGGCAAAACAGATAACCACGTATAATTACGGGAAAACAAGCTACGAACATTTTTTTTTCGAATTTTTTTACCAGTGGACAACTATAGAACATGCTACACAGTATAAGTGTAATTTAGTAACATCTATGACTAAATTATGGATGATACACAAACTATAATGCCGTGCATAGAAGGTATTCAGTACTCAAGATTACTCAAGCTACTTTATTAATCCAGCTGGCATCACTTTTTATCCGAGTATTTGAAAGTATCGATTGAAGGTGTTTACGGTTAAATTACTATTGAAGACTTATAAGATTCGTAACCAAGTACACAGACCGATAGAATTCAATTTTTATACCATTAACAGAATATGAATATGCTTGTATATATACACGATGATAAAATCATTTTTTACCATCCACAAGTTCCAGTTTCGTAGGTGTTGCAAACGATTTAGTGCGAAATTCGCTTATCCACCGTTTCGTATTTTCATCGATATCCACAAATTCTATCGGTTGGCCCTAATTATTAAATGAATACATGAAATACGAATGGCTATTACCATGACAGCAGTTTAAGTTCACTCAATGGAAAATAAGCGTATGTTTTGAAAGATTTATACCAACCATAGGAGTTGCTAGTTGTACTTGAAACACTGAATGTGTTAAAGTAAACGAGTGGATGAAAGAATGAGCTGAGACACCTACATCATAGTTAAGGGAATTTATTAGTATGATAGCAAGCACAATCATATGGAGTTGGATTGACCTATGCGAATTGGTGAGTTTGAGCATCAGCTGTCAAATGTAAGCTACAACGCGTATACTGTACTTATCCATAAGATCGCATTGGGTTAGTGGCTAGGGTTAGGGTTCGGCTACTTTAAAGTGCTAAGAAGATACCGTTCCCTTTGATGTAATTTCTTACAAAGTGATTGGTAAATTACTATGGAATGGTTTATTTTTAGTACTATACACAGTGCAGCAGACTTGTTAGCATGATTGAACAGTTTGATATTATTATTGCTGACTGGAAAATGTAGTCAAAAATTTCATAAGTAATCCACTGCAATTGAGTTCGTGCTATTGCATTGATGGTTAACTGACCTTGTTGTGCTGCAGATAAAACACATAAACATTGCGGTTTTTTAGCCATAATTCACTTTTACCACTACGATAAGTATATACAATTTAAGAACTCTATCTGTGTCGGCTAGTCAACACTATCTACCGTTGCAGCAAAAGCAATCAGCAAACTATCTTGATAGCAGCTACTGTAGGCAAATAAGTCTTGCAGATTCAATTCGCTACCCTACTAGCGAGCGATTGAAAGGGGTTGGTCGAAGGGCAGTCTCATCACCTACTCTACTCTGGATCAACAGTTGCTGCTGTATGACTGTGCAGTACTGCACCATGGACTAGAACTGTACACTGTCTACAGTGTACAGTCTGTGTAATACAGTATATTACAGACCATACTGTACACTGTGCACTGTGTAGTCTTCACGAAAGGGGTTGGTCGAACGGCAGTCTCATCATTTACTGTATCAGGAGTTGCTGCTGTATCAGTGTGCTGTGTACTGTACCGTGGACTAGAACTGTACACTGTCTACAGTGTACAGTCCGTATAACACAGTATATTATAGACCATACTGTAAACTGTGCACTGTGTAGCATCCACTAAAGGGGTTGGTCGAACGGCAGTCTCATCACCTACTGTACTAGATCAAGAAATGCTTCTGTATCACTGTGCTGTACTGTACGCCTGTACTGAACCTTCGACAGGTGTATGTACTGTAGGTGTAGAAAGTGTCTACAATAATAGCACTCTAAAGAGAACTGGCCCACACTCAGGGTGTCTTATAAAAAATCTACGACGATTGAAATGATATGAAAACGTAATGTCAAGACCAAATTAGACAAACTTAGTATCAATCGATAGCTTAGATGTGTAAAAATGTACAGTACTGTAGATCATACTGTACTGTACACTGTGCACTGTGTACTGTAGCATCCACTAAAAAGGGGTTGGTCGAACGGCAGTCTCATCACCTACTGTACGGTACTCTAGATCAAGAGTTGCTGCTGTATCACTGTGCTGTACTGTACCGTGGACTACTAGATACTAAGCCTGGTGTAGAAAGTATCTACAATACGGTGTGTTACAGACTATACTGTGCACTGTACACTGTACGCTGTGCACTGTACACTGTACAGTATACAGCGTACACGTCAGTACGTCAGAGCCGCTGCAATGTCAAGTCATCATGAACTGCAGTACTACAGCTATGTTATCCACCATTGTTCACGCTATCATGTTGTACCAGAGCTACGACATTGGTCATAGCCAATTATTGTATAACATGTACGCCGCTTGTACGCGTCAGGGACTACCGACAAGAAAGAAAGGGCGACTGTTCAATAACTGTCATGGACAGGTTGACTATTTTGCTGGTCATTGGACTACAGTACAGATAGGATTAACGAAGGAGCATTTTAGACAATAACTCGCTGTCTACAGTACAGCGGTGTGCTACGCCACCAGCGCTGAGTAAGCGTAGCGACTACGCTAGTACTATACGATACTATAGACCAAGAAAAGACAGACAGACAGACACCTCTAGGAGCAATAGCTACAAGTGCACATATGACTACTCCAACCACTTGTCTATGACGTTTGACTACAATAGGGCACACCCTAGGGCCGGATGACTGATCAGTTAACGTCATACACTAGTAAGAGTACGTCCATCATTTGATACCCTCGTATCGCAATAATCTGCAGTAGGTGTCCAAACAATAACTAAACTTATTATTATTATTATAGTCAAGCATAACAACCCATCGTTGCTACTAGGGTAGTGCTAAAGTGACGCTTGGAGCGGATGACACTACGCCCTTCAAATAAAACTGTCTAGAGTGTCATCGCAAGTCATCCCGTTATCAACTCGTCTGCAACATGGCTCAAGTTAAGAAAGGTAGAAAATAAAAGCAATTTTAACCCTGTTGTTGAAGTCAATTCCGTTATCCTATCCTGTTGTTATTTTCTTGGTCTATCGTCGTTGTCATATTGCACATGACCACTTCCATAGTGATATTCTTGTAGGATACCGTTATCACCTGATAGGATACTTGTCATCGTTGATAACGTAATCGTAATCCGTTATCAAATTGTTTTTCTTAGTTTCCTTTTTTCTTTTGGGTACTCTTTCTCTCTGCCAAGATAATACTTGTTTATTATCGAATGATAGAGTACAGCGTTGAATATCTTGTTATTAGATAATAAAAAAAATGAATCCAAGTTGTTGAATCGAATAGCGTCAAAATGGATAATGTAATGAATCGGAGAGAGTGATATGCTTAGATAAGATTATAAATGCAAACGATCCATTTTACAGATTATTCCAAAGCCATGATGGCGCTAGAAAAGTCATCTTGGAAAACGATCGAAACAACTATAGCAATGAGGAAGATCAGGAGATGTTAGCTGAAGTTCTGTCATTAATGAAACACAGACTATTTAAGAATGTTATGGACATTCAAGAAGATTATGCTAGGGTAAGACTTGTTCTAATAGCAATCGATGAATCTTCCTATTAGCATTATTATCAATACGCGCATCGATCCTTTGTCGACACAAAAATAAACTCTTACACAAATTGCGGACAGGATCGCCCAAAAATTTCTTTCCGAGCAATTTCAAGGCTTGTCCAATCTTAACCATCCCGGAAAAATGTTACTTTGATCAAAATTTGTATTTTATTGTTGGCAGTTAAGATACAATATAGTTTATCAGTATGCTGCTTTCATTCGTTCCCTACAAACTTCATACAATCCAATGGTAGATCACATAGCAACAATAGTTCATCTAAGATGAATCAACTAAAAATAAACGGATCGACTACGATACCGTTCTTGTAAATTCCGATCAAATGACTATATTTCCTTACTCATAGCCAACGGTTGAAATCGAGTAGGTTACTTTACAAAATCCAAGAAAGTGAACTATTGTAGAGATTCCTTGTACGACAAGTACGCAAACAATAGTGATAGCACTTCATAAATTAACATCAAGCTATTCTAAATACCTTTATTACAATCACTAAAAATCCATTAATCATTAATTAGTTAATAAAATACACAAATGCAATTACAGTTAAATGATTTCACATCTACCATTACCACTTTCGAATATTGTTATGCTTAAGGAAGAAGCATTGAATTCTGTAGAATAAAATAACCAACTAGAATTAGGTACTCACTGATTGACATCAATTACTTCTTTAGCGATAATTTACAAACAATGTACCTGTCATAAAGCTACCATGATCGATTGATATGCGTCTTTTAGAAACCTAGTAATACTTACTATAGAACATCCTATTCTATCATGTAGCACTAGTAAAATAGACGTCTTCAAACTACTAGAAATGGTAATCGCAATACGTAAGTTTTGATGATGGTGAATTCGATTTAAGCCAAGATAGCTGATAAGTGGTAATAATCACGTAGAAATTTGTTGACATATTATGTCCGTGTCCGTAGTATCTATGTTGATAGCCCATAACATGAATGTCCAATTAATTCTAGAGTTGCTTATATAACTTCAAGATTGAATTGGATATGACCTACATCGTAGTCTTTGTAGCTTGGCTAGTCCCCTAGGTTTGCTATAAATATCAATAACGTTGTGATCAATCTTTTTTATTACAAATTAGACATAGTATTATACTATGCGACAGTTCTGACCATGTTAATAATAGCGTACAATCTATCATTTGCTTGACATCACATTTATTTTACATCCCTTTTCCTGACCGACTGATAACTTGGAACATTGGCATTTACTTTATTTGCAATCATATAAATAGTTACATCATATCGGATTGAGCGCAAATACATGACGCTATGCTTATTATAAACTATACCAATTTGTTGCTATGGATGATAGTTGAAGACATTTTGTCCAGCTGCTAGTTATTTTCCTTTTCATTGCATTACTCCTATCAAAACAACTGTAACGAATCGCATCATACAGTACTATATAAAGTCTATATTATCATCTGATGAATATTCTATTTATGTTGACAGCGAAATATAAATAACTCCTGTATTGCTACTGTCATCTTATACATTAGGGATGTAATTCAAATAAAAAATTAAAAATGATAAGATGACAGCTACTGTGAAGATAGATCATGAATGATCAGTGTTGACAATCTATCCTATCGGCAGGTGCATCTGCGCAAAATAAACCAGTAGTCGGATAAATTTTCTACTCTAAAAATAAACTTGTCCATCTAACAATTCTCGTAGAACAGTAAAATTTATGCTTTACTACTGATCTGGTATCAATTTAGTAACAGTATCAAAATAACGTTATTATTCTACAATATGCAATATATATATATATATGAATGCGATAAATTTTTTCGTACAGTTATATATAATTTATTCGATATTGACTTACTAGCCGGAGGCGTGATTGCATACTTAAAAGTATGCAAAGAATAAATTCGACGAAACGTATGCTAGATAATTCAAATAGTTACATATAATGCTAAATCTATCTCGGCCCATGCTATACCTTTTGAATACAACACAAGAGATACCTCTATAATATTTTAATATTTAATTGCAACTTTGGGGAACTGCGCTACTGCAACTTGAACAACTATCAAACTCAAATAATACACGGTAAAAAAATCCAAGTCAATCCACTACCGTAATTAAGATATCATCACAATTATCAAACCCTCTGATTTCTCATAGTAGCAGGGTATTTTAAAGTTAGCAATATTCACAAAACTACACTCGTATATTTGCAATAACCATGATTACATGTACATGTACCGTATACCTCTTACGTATTTTAATCTGCTCAATTCAATCAGCCTACTATATGACTTGCAATTCGCTAAATTTCACAGTCGTAATTAAAAAAAGCTGTTCAAAATCAGACAAGCTAGCAGCTACGATAGAATCCGTTTTTAGAGGCTACAATCACTCTTTACATACTCAGTAATTATATGAATATATCATAAATTGTACTCATTACAATAATATACAACATTTTTCAATATGGAAACAGTCGTAATAATTTAATTACTATTTACATCCATACTTATTCGTTTGCACTTTTCAGTTTAAGTAAGTAAATCTAAAGATCCTTTCCGATTAGTCTATTGATTTTTTAAATATCATATGTATTTATATAGTTATTATAAACAAGATTATACTAAATCATAAATAAATGTAGATTAGTAATTTGCAATTGCATCCCAGGTATCGAGAACTTGTTCTTCAATCGCTTTTCATTTACAACTGTAATCAATATTGAGGCTTTCATTCTGTATATATCAGTCTCTCTCAACATCTGCCGAAAGAAGAAAGGCTGCAAAAGTTGATCTATCGAACGAAAGACGAAGTCTTAGAGATAGCTTTAAACATCGCTTTGGTATCAAGGACGATAAAAAGAAATCTCAATCTTCTGCCCAAGCGACTACATCAAGTGCACAAGTACCCAATAAATTGTAAGCTTAAATTTCTTCCTATGAAAAGATTACATTGAGGCTTTGATAACGTAGCCTCTGTGTGTTGCTACATAGAAACAGCATATGTTTAACATTGTGCACGATGGTGAATTTAATACATTGAATAATACGCGAGCCGTACATTCTGCAGTATCTTTATCTTGTAAATAACTTTTTCTACTTACAATTATTGCATTTAGCATTGATAAAATGTAAGTTTCTAAAAATTACATGAAGCCTTTTTGGCACGTATAAAAAAATAAATCAGTTACAAGAGTTAGATGTTCCCACTGTCTAGAAAAAATATTGTCTATCTTGTTTTACAAATTATATCACAAAAAATAGAGAACCAGATTTGAATCGTTGCCAATTATTTGTAGGCCAAAACAGGAAGTTCATAGCGAGAGCGTTGATCCAATAAATCACCAGCCGCAAGGGAATAGCGAAATGGACAGAGGACAAATTCCGAAATCGAAAATTTCTCCGAGGACTTCCGTCGTGGATTATGCAGATCTACACCAGTACGAAGATATTGATACATCCGCCGAGATAGTGTACGGCAATGGAATAGTGAATCAACAACGATCACCCATTACTACCCCTGTGAGAGAAAATCCAGGTTAATAAACGCTTTCTTGTCCTAATATCATTAAGATCGCAGCCAACATAAATTAGAATAATGAAAATTCTCAATTTTCTCATAAAATTCATTCTGAGGTTAATATTTTTCCATTTTGTATTTCTAGGATCGATAATTAACACAGCAAGGCTACTTCAAAATCAGTCTGTGAATAGTACTAATTCTGCAAGAACTACTCCTCAAAGATCTCCGATACATGGAGATGTTCCAGGAGTAACTCCACCTAGTACATTTCAAGATCCAAAACCCAAAACGTCTATAAATGAACAAGGGAATCGAAGGCCCAACCAAGAGCAACGTCCTAAACAGCCGAAACAGTATGATGTTTCCGCAGATAAGCAGCAACGGCCGCAAAATTTGCCAGTTGCTAAAAATGGAGAAGCAAGAAACATAAATAATTTATCCGATACCAATGGGGTAGCGCCCAAAACAGTCGCTGATCAACCTAGAAGCCCAAAGCGTACTACCCCAACGGAGAATCAACGACAACAGCCATCATATCAGCAAGCACCACCACAAGGTGTTCAACGTGGGGCTCCATCTAATATTAGGCCAAGCAATAACAAGTATGGCTATGATACTCCTCAAGCTCGGCCAGCACAAAATCCTGTACCACCACAAGGCTATCGACGAATAAACTCCAACGATAAATCACCTACATCTGATGTTATAGGACGTAAACCTCAACAACAAGGTGTTCGTTTTCCAAATCAAAATAATATGACGACGAATGAAAGGCAGTTCCAAAACTACCAGGCAAGGCCAAAAGTCCAACAACCGAATGTAAGACCTCAAAATCCGGCTCAGATGAGTAGAGTATCACCTACAGGTAACAATCCACCAAACTATAATCATCGCCCTTCGCAAGAGATAAAAAGTCAAGCGAATAATAAACCTGTGCGTTATGCTCTTCCGCCGCAGCAGCAGCAGCAAAATATTCAGCCTCGATCAGCTGGACCATCAGTCAATACCAGACCCCAGACTCAAGGCGGATATCGACCGCCATCCGCTGCAGTTAACAATTCAAATCCTCCTAGATATATTCGCCCCAACCAGTCAAGTGGGCTGCAAAATCCAAGGCAACGAATACCAGCTACCCAACAGATACAATATCAAGTCAATGCTCAGAAAGTAGAAAACGTATACGAAATTTCAACGACCAATGTCAACGAACGTATGGCTCTTAAAAATGTGACAACTAGTAAATCATCTGTTGAGCAACTTCACACAAGAACGCAACCTTCAGCAAATAGAAAAGTAATTCCCTCCAATAACACAGCGATCAGTAATACAGCTATTGCGTAAAAATAGACCTATAATTTAGATAGCATCAAGTTTATACGTTACTCTTTAAATGTAATACCTGTAAAAATTTATTAGACCTTTATGCGCTAACAAGCTTGATTTGTGGTAAGCGTCGATAATTGATTCAATTTCTTGATATTCTAGCCTAGAGGAGGTATCGTTGAAGGTGAAGACCGAGTCATTGAAATGATTAAGCCGAGTAAAGGCTTCGGATTAAGTTTACTTGGTGCTTCAGAATTTGGTGTCTACGTAGCCAAATTAAATGTCGGTGGAGCTGCAGAAATTGATGGGCGGTTTAAGAAGGGAGATCAAATTATTGAAGTCAATGGCTTTGAAATAGGTAATGAAGACGCTGATATTTGGTAAAAGCTACTTACTGTACCGTGATAGCTAATGCAACGCAGAATTAAATGATGCCTAGATAAAATTTATGCACAATGCAGTTATATTTCATTAATGAGTCAGTTAGAATAAATTTTAGAAGGTTGCGTAGTTAGTATATTCCTTTTGTACTGTACCGTATTATTTAAAAATTTCTTTTACTTGGTTCTCTAGATGGTATGTCCTATGGCGAAGCTGCACAGATTCTACGGGTACGTAGAAGTAAAATTTCTCTAAAATAAATACAATATAATTATTGCATAGGCAGACGCATAATAAAATAATATCGATTTTCGCCACAAATAGGAAATTGGTGTAGGCTCTCGAGCAACTTTCCATGTACGACATAACTCCACAGGTAATCATAAAAAATCTAGATCTTAATAGAACCAGTATAAATGTTGCTATTAAATATCTGAGAAAATAATTTATATTATACTCTACTATCTATACATTGGATGAAGAATAAAATTAGTTTTACACGGTACATGTTATACCTAAACTGTTTTATTTAGATCTTCCGCTACACTTATCATCAATTATATTAAATTATAATAACTTTCACTTCAAAATATAGGTCTAGCTAAATTTGAAGAGTTTAGAGAAAGAAAGAGAATGGGAAAAATTGCGAACAATACAGACTAATAACTTATTAAACGTTTTTCGACTGTAGCGGCAATGGTGTAAATAATGAATCCATGGCCTTGAGTTTATTCTGTATCGCCTCAATGTATTCATCTAATGTACTACTAACTGAATAAGTAAAGGGTATAATTTAATTTAGTTGATAAATAATACTAAGAAATGAAATTAAGTATTACATGATTGCAGTAAAGTTTAACTTGCCATCAAATATTCAATCACTGCCGGAATGATTGTTAAATTTCTATTTGCAACGATAGACTTAGATTTCTTGGATTTTAAACCAGGCAATGGTAGTATCATGCATTCTCGTAACCGCAAAGCAATGCATACACCGCATAATCTTAATGGTGACAACGTAACTTCGATTATCGAATACTGTTACAACTTAATACATTAAACCCAGAAATCTAAGGCTACTTGTAAAACAATTCTGGTATAATTAATCGAATCAATTGTAAGATGGATTCAGAAATCTAAAACTTGTAATATCATTAATACTATTTTGAATTCATCGCCAATGAAACACAGGGATAATATATATATTTTTCTTCATAGAAAATTCACTTTCATAAATAACTGTTGATGTCTGTTATTAACTTTAGGTATACTGTTTCTGTGACTATAATTACTTATAATGTAATAGCTGGTAATTAATAGAGTGTGACAAAAGCTGTTTATAACATCTAGCAATAGATACACATTGTTTATACGATAGTATCTTTGACAGTATGAAAAAATTATTTTTCATACACTCGTTTCAATTTGGTTCACATTCGTTGGATAGCAACAGCACTATCAAGACTAATTAATGAGCCTTCATCAAAATAAATATTCATATTTTGAAGTGATATAAATATAGCGATAATCACTTATTGTACGCTGAGAGAAAAGCAGCGGAAAGTCTAAATTAATGAACTATTTTCGTGAAGAGACTGAAAACTTCTATAACGTTTCTTTAAGGGGCAATCTTAAAATCCATATAGCTTAGTTATGGATTTTCATAATCGTTTTTCGTTGTAAGAGTAATAAGTCGAGAAATCTCAAAATATAAAATTTATTTTAGAGTTTCTATAATAATTATTAACGCGTGCAAGTACGATAATTTATCAAGCTGTTATTGAATAGTAATTGAAAACTTGACTTATCCGGCTTATTATCATTCAGTTAGTGACAGCACTTTTACTGTCTTTTATTGCATTATTTTCTACTCTAAATCTGCCAATTTGATGTTACCAAAGGATCTCAGTACTGTAATATTAGTTATATTACCTTAATCTTCTACGAAGTACATAGCAAACTATTATCGCAGAACATCCTTAAAATGTAGTTTCTTAAGCGCTCATTGGATGACCGAAAAAATTTCTAAATTATGTATTACTGTATTCTTATGTTGATTATAGGCAAGTTTGCATAGTTATCGTCCGTAGTGAATGATGATTGATTAAGAACTTGCGAACAAGCAATTAAAAATCCTAATTTGAATCTGGTAAGTCGCTAAAATAGCTTTAGCAGTCTTCTGTCGCATTGCATTTTTGTTCTTTATGGTTATTTCGGTATAAGTTGAGGTAATAGTTTTATGATTTCCACAGCTATTTGCATTGTAGGCGTAATAAAGTAATAACCTGCCCAAGAAAGATGATTTAGAAAGCACTTATTAAATAACAGTGGGAAAGTTTAACTTATACGTACAAGTGCTATATCCGAAAGTAATTGATTTTCTTAATTAATAATAGCAGCTGGTTAGAAATTATTCGATATGTAAATATACCTTTGGACTACTAGAAGAAGACTTCTCCTACGAGCAGTCCATAACATGGCAAACTAATAACCTAACCAAGAAAGATCATTTTGAAAGCATTTATTGCATGATCTTGCGAAAGTTCAACTTATATAAGCCCTGAATCAGAAAGTATTTGATTTTCATAATTAATGATAGCAGCTGGTTGGAAATTATTCTATATTGTTCGATTCCGATTTTATCAAACTAGACAGTATAGTTTAGCAATTTAAATTTTTTTCACTAAATTACAGTACGTATAAAGTCACTACCTATCAATTTCTGTTTCTACACAGCTATAAAAAATACTACTGTATAATGGGAAAAATATTGAAGGTATTTACAAGTATTATTGGCTTATTTAAGGACGAAAGTTCCGACAATAAAGAGAATCATAAGATTATGATTGAAATTGTTCAAACTACGGCTTCTTTACTCGAAGCTTTCATACGGACACTATGTCGAGAGAGAATTAGTATATACTCATAAGACTGAAACAGGAAACACCATTCGAATTAAAACACCTTCTTTAGTCCTAAGTCTATCAAACAGTCATGATGATGGTGTTATCGTGATTATCTTTATTTTTGATTTGTTTAGATCGATATATTACCGATCTTAATGGGTTCCCAACGTGATTATTTCACAACTGTGAAAATTCATTCATTATTGACATCTGCTAACGAACATAATCAGTTTGGAAACTGACTGTTACTTCTCACCTACTCTCACCATTCTTTCATTAGAAAAAGAAGTTATTTATTTCTGTATCTATCCCTCTATTGTGAAAATTAAACAATTTTTACAGTATTGCTATGCCTTTTCGAGATGGAGACATTCAGAATTGTAATTTTTTGGCGTCAAATTTACGTAAAGTGATCAAAGACAGAAAGAAGATTACAATGCGTTTATGTCTCCATCTTTCACGCACCTAATACCTTAAATGTTGCGTAAAATATTTTTAATTTAAAGCTACTGTTAATGAAATGATACCACCGCTTCGTCATCTCAGCATTTTCTCCAGTATTGCGGGCGCTGTAAATAATCGATAAAGTAAGCTAATCTTAAACTGAATATGAAATAATTGTTCAAGCTAGTAATGATTAATTTAGAAGTAGTCTTTTACGAGCAGCCATGATTTTTACGCTCAAAGAACAGGTCATTAATTGATTACCCCTACTTACATCTAAGAAATAACATTTATTCCTTGATAAATTTCTTTCGATGATGAAATAAAATAAATTAGATTTATTACAATTTTGTATTCTTTAGTAATCGATCAATAAGCATCTAGGGTTATGTTTTGCTTTTGATCGTAGAGTTGCTAGAGTAAAAATATGAAGTAAACAAGATGAATCACTTCTAGCCTCAATTCTGTCGGTAGTCATGAATCATCAATAACTGCTTACCCACAGCTTTTATTCTATTTCTCCCAACGAGACAGTAGCATAGTTTATGAATTAAAAATAGACCATGCATGGTTAGAATGATATCTCCAATAGGCAATAATATTGCCTTAAAGCTATGAAAAACTAATCAATATCTACCACCATTGAATTTAGCACAAACAATGTATTTTAATTTTTCAACTGTACACATCAAGCAAAGAAAGATTCAGACAGCTTTGTTATCAGATCGAATTCAAAAAGAAAACTTTCTCAAGAGTTTAGAATTTGACGCTATTATGATAGAGAAAAAATGAGTTTGGAATCGAGTTCCTTAAGGTAGAATAATAACGGACGACTGTCTGATTCTCTTTGTACTTACCGTTTCTACTCGTATATAGTCGCTGGTACCCAAATTCTTGAAAGCAAAGGCAAAAATGATATAAATAGATTTTCGTCGTCAGATATTTTCATGATAACAAATACCGAAATTCTCTCCATCTGCTCATGTGAAAGTTCCATCAGAAAGAAAATCTATACTGATTTCGATCTAAGCATCGTCGGATACCCTTAGGGATATCATCTATATTTCTTGGCAATTATTCGAACTTTAAGGTCTCTTCATTATTTAGAATTTAGCTTTGGATTGATGGCTCTGGTTAACCAATTTTATGACACTGGCTAAAGAATTTCAGATTCAATCTGGCATTAAGTCTTCAGTCATCCGAACTATTAATAAGCGCACCTACTTCGTGTCCTGTTGCCATCCTTTTCCAATCTGATGAGAAATTGTTCGAAAGTAAGTAAATATACTTCTAGTTGCTAATACACGTATTTCAGTATAACCATTTTGGCTAAATAAGTATATCACAATTTTACGGCAACTCCAACGCTTATTAAAAATTTCCCTCGCTAAAAGCACTGAAATCGCTTTCTCGTCTCAAATAAATTGTTTTAGTAAAACTAGAATCGTAGCTGTTTTATAGAAGAATTCAGTGGGTAGTTAGCGCATGTTATCTTTTCAAATAAGTATGACTATATAGCATTATCTTAGACTTTAATGTTATTTAAGGAGTAGAAAGCTCTTGATGATAAATATCTTAAGTCCAGTACTTTCCCAAATATATCAGATTCTAAAGTGATAACGGCTGTATTTAAATTAATAGAAGAAAAGTAGTAATATAGCAAATTAATCAAGTTCTAATTTTACGTCAAAATGCGGCCTGAATCAATTAATGATAGCGTATTTATCTTCTCTTGATAGTTTATTTGATGATCGAGTTTTGCAAAATTTCTCCGAAATATCGATAGAATTTTTACCTCTTATATATCGGATTAGTGTCCTCTTTGCCCATAGATAATTCAAGTCTGTATAAAATGTTGGAAGACATGCAAGGAATCCCGCTAAATATGAGCTATTACCATAAATCAACTACTGTCTATGTTTTTCATTACATCTACGGCATTATTGCTGGCCTAAGTATTGTGGTCAATTTAACCATCCTTTTGTTGATTGTATGCAATAAACATCTGCTTCGTAGACCGACAAATTTAATACTATGTAGTCTTGCCTTAGCCGATCTTTTCACAAGCATTGGTCTTTTCTTAACACCAAACGCAGTTATACCATGGCATTATTATCATCTTTTCATAACTATACTAGGCATCGATATGTTTTGCCTAGCATTAGCATCCTATTATTTATTTTTTACCTTTGGTTCGATATCAATAGTAACCATAACTATCATTGCTTATGAACGTTGGATCGCTATCAACAAAGCAAGGCATTATAGAAAAATTTTTACAGTCAAAAGAGCCATCATCATCTTAACCGCAGT